CAACAATCATAACGCGTCGAGGTGGTTGAATGGAAATAAATAATACATGATCCAAACATCTCACTCTCGATAGTAATTCAGTACCTCATCAATAAACTTGTAATGCGTAACTAGTACTCTGTGTCTAATTTCAGAATTGCTGACTCTATATCCTCAAAATACACGAGCAATTGTTCGAAGGTACCTATGATCTAATTCCAGTAACCTACGAATATCTCCCATTTTTAAAGACCACATTTTACAGCTATAGAGTAGAACGGAAAAAAACTGCTACATAACAAACACGCCATTAGTTGGCGTAAAGTTAATTCACCAACATCACAAATGAAGTGAATAAGAGAAAGTCGACTGAGCTCTCTAAATTAGTGGTAATGTGGTGAGAGAACTTGCCCCCAAATGCCCTGGTATGACACAGGGTGGGGAGAGTCATCTCACCCCCTCGAAATGCTCTCACATGGCTACGCGTATACAGCCACTATCAGGGATGCCCTATTCACTGCCCTCTGAAGGCAGAATTGTTGTTTACGAAATTGAGAGGCCGAAAAGCGAATGTCGGGCGCTTTATTAGGGTTGGTGAACACGGAGAGTTCACCTAAGGGAGTTGGCAAACACTGATTTCAAACCATTGGTGTATATGGGATCCAGTATCCTGAAGGAACAAATGATGTATGAACCAATCGTTGATCACCCTCCATTGCCTTGTAATCAGACTGTTAGTTCGAAGATTACAGAGGTGAGTCAGCCAGTCATTCAGCTGCAACGTAGGATCAGGCACGTATATGCATCGGTCCAAGTTGCCATACCACATTAGCACAACAAGATCAACACCGGATTCATAGAAGTAGTTAATTCAGTGGTGGTAATATATAGAAGAGTGTGTATAAGGAGATAGTACAGGAAGAAAGAATTAGTTCGTAGAAAGAAAGACTTGAAGTAATTTTAATCTCTTAGTTTAAAGGAAGACAGAGAGAGTATACACCGAAGCCATTGTGATCTATTCTGAGCAATGTCACCAAGAGTCTCCAAGCATTGGTTACGACAGTCTCGCGGACCCCAACCAGGCAGTCTGCATCTACCAACATGGCTCAGAAGAGAAGTTTTGGTTTGGCCGCCCCTAACTTTCTTCCAATAATCTCTAACACCGGTTGTACAGACGTGACCCCCTACGAAAACCATCTACTTCGATCTAGGCATCCGGATAGTATCACAGCCCGCAGATAAATCAAGTGATTTATATGGCGTATATATATTCGGTGCCAATGTAAGTAATTAAATACGGAGAACTTGAGAAAACGAAATCTCAGCACGGATTCGAAAAGCTCGCTTAGCCTTTGCCAACTTTCGTCATCTATGGCGAAGGCGAGATATCCGTCTATCAATTAAGGGACGAGTATACTGCGCGGCAGTTCGTTCCGTCCTTCTATACGGCTGCGAAACATGGCCTTTAAGAGTGGAAGATATTCGTAAGTTACTAGTATTTGACCACAGATGCCTTAGAAATATTGCGGGTATCTGCTGGGATCACCGGGTAAGTAATAGTGAGGTTAGACGCAGGGTATTAGGGAATGATGGTAAATCAGTTGATGAGGTTATGAACCTTCATCGACTGAGATGGTTGGGCCACGTGTTGCGTATGCCTGAACACCGATTACCACGACGCGCAATGCTGACTAGTGCAGGGGATAATTGGAAGAAAGTTAGGGGCGGCCAAACCAAAACGTGGCATCAGTGCTTGAAGTCACTAACTTCTGGTCTGAGCCATGTTGGTAGATTCAGACTACCTGGTTGGGGTCCGCGTGACTATCGTAACCAATGGTTGGAGACTCTTGGTGACATGGCTCAGAATCGATCACAATGGTTTCGGTGTATACTCTCTCTGTCTTCCTTTAAACTAAGAGATTAAAATTACTTCAAGTCTTTCTTTCTACGAACTAATTCTTTCTTCCTGTACTATCTCCTTATACACACTCTTCTATATATTACCACCACTGAATTAACTACTTCTATGAATCCGGTGTTGATCTTGTTGTGCTAATGTGGTATGGCAACTTGGACCGATGCATATACGTGCCTGATCCTACGTTGCAGCTGACTGACTGACTGATAACTAATATACAATACCATAATAACATTAAATTAATGAAATCCAAATTTTACTACGTAATCAACACATTACATACCTTTTCACGAATCTACACAAGGGAGAAAAAAAGAGAAGCAAGAAAATAGATAATAAGGAAATTATCATGTCCATAGTTACTCAAATACCATACTAAGCAAAATCGTAGAACTTATTTATAGAGTAAGAGTTGTGAAACATTGTAAACTACACTGAATGATACCCATGTATTTTACACACACACACACACACACGAGTGATCACTTACGTAATCTCAACCACTGGCTAGAAGAATATCAGTAGTCTAGAAAAGTGCTGATGAGATCATGGTGGGAATAGAAGTAGTGCGGTGTATGCTACTTATGCTGACAGATAGAAGGAGTATGTAGCACTAATCCGAAGTGCAATGCCTGGCCTAGGAAATCGAGTTGAAGAGAACAGGATTGTAAACAGAAAAGAATTCTAATAACAACAGAATCATGAAGTGTGTAATGGACAATGGATGGAAGATGAGCAAATGATGCATTTAATGTATAGTTGTAATATTTAACAAAGGCATACTGTAATTTTGCATTTAACAATAAATTAGTTATTTCCACCAAGTCTTCGTTCACCACAGTTGTAGTGCTAGAGCATAAAATCATTAACCGTTGAAATAAGATGCATCAGAAAGCTGAATAATGGTTGAGATTGACATTTGAATCTATATTCGAAGACATTAATTTAGCAACATCTGGATGATTACTGAAAAACTTGTCATAACAAGAAATTAGGTCAAGTATAATGGTTTTTGTGAACAATGAACAATATATTTGCTCCGCAGTTTTCAAGCCTTTCAGTGATACCGGAAATCTGAAAGTATAGTGTTTTTTAGTATTAGCCTCATTTCATGAGACGGTAATGTCGGTGGGAATGACACTATAGAGACTACAATAGAAGGTAGAAGAATCACAACTTGGGAAAACGAAATACATTTTGTTGTACGACCTACTGAATTAAAAGGTCCAGTCAAAAAGTTGAGTTGTATTGTCACGATAAATAAAACTGATCACAATATTAAATAAGTTTATAAACCAGTTAATACCAACCCAACTCAGCAAGATCTGAGATGAAGAACAAGTATAAACCGACTGGAAAGAAGGACACCTGATCAAGATACCAAAGAAACGCGATCTCAGCAAGAGTAAGAACTACAGAGGCATCACTCTTCTCTCAATACCAGGAAAAGTCTTCAACTGGGTACTGTTAAACAGAATGGAGGACTCCGAGGACGCTCAACTTCGAGAACAACAGGCAGGATTCCGTAAGCATCATTCGTGCACAGACCAAATCTCAACATTACGGATCATTGTGGAACAATCAATTCAATGGAATTCATCACTCTGCATCCATTTCATTGACTACGAGAAAGCATTTGATGTGGACAGGACCACACAATGGAAGCCTCTTCGACACTACGGCGTGCCTCAGAAGATAGTCAACATCATACGGAATTCCTATGATGGATTGAACTGCAAAATCGTGCATGGAGGACAGTTGACAGACTCGTTCAAAGTAAAGACCGGTAAGCCAAGGTTGCTTACTCTCATCCTTTCTCTTTCTCCTGGTGATCGACTGGATCATGAAGACGTCAACGTCTGAGGGGAAGCATGGGACACAGTGGACAGCTAGGATGCAGCTGGATGATCTACACTTCACAGATGACCTGGCTGTTCTATCGCAAACTCAACAAAAAATGCAGGAGAAGACGACCAGTGTAGCAGCAGTAGGTCTCAACATACAAAAACGGAAAAGCAAGCTTATCCGATACAAGGCAGCATGTCCCAATCGAATCACACTTGACGGATAAGCTTTAGAGGATGTAAAAACGTTTACATATCTGGGTAGCATCATTGATGAACACGGTGAATCTGATGCAGAAATGAAGGCATGAATCGGAAAAAACAAGAGCAGCATACTTACAACTAAAAAACATCTGGAACTCAAAAAATTGTCAACCAACACCAAAGTCAGAATTTTCAATACAAATGTTAAGACAGCTCTACTGTATGGGGCGAAAACCTGGAAAACTACGAAAGCCATCATCCAGAAGATACAGGTGTTTATTAACAGTTGGCCAGACACTATCAGCAACAACCTAATGTGGGGGAGAACAAATCAGATTCCAGCGGAGAAAGAAGTGGATAGGACACACGTTGAGGAAAGCACTCAACTGCGTCATAAGCCAAGCTCTCACCTGGAATCCTCAAGGCCAAAGTAGAAGAGGAAGAGAAAAGGAGACAGATATGAGAAGAATGAACAACAATTGGATAGAACTAGAAACGAAGAGCCAGGATAGAGTGGGTTGGAGAATGCTTGTCGGCGGCCAATGCTCCATTGGGAGTAACAGGCGTAAGTAAGCAAGTAACCAAATCAGATAGGATCACTTAAATGTTTGGAATTAAAACAAAAACAAAAAGATGTGTATATAAAAAGTACTGAACCCACTACACGAAAACAGGATCAGACAACTTCAAGTTAAGAAACTAACATCTAATGAATTAAGGGAATCTAATTAACAAGTGAATAGGATTGAATGATTCAACCAATAATTCTCAAAATGTTTTATTTGAAATTTAACCCATTGACAAGATCGTGCATGCGCACTGCTGAGGAGTCCCACAGTAGGACGAAACGGCCGTCCAGTGCTTCCAGGTTTTCCATGCTGGTCTAGTTTCAACTGACTCATGATCTTAACCATTGAAATTACTACAATCGTCACAAAACCCCTTCCGATATTAAACATTAAATAGACAAGTCTTTTTCACTAGTTCAATAGACATATATGATACATAAATGAAGGTAGTAAAAAAATAAGAATATAAACATTTAAGATTTTTACCTTTCCATACAGATATTGTATTAAAATTGTAGCTAGACGAGAAACTTCTGGATAAGGATCTTGAGCTAATTGAATTAATGTAAGCCAAAATTGAACGTAGATATTTGTACTAGGTGTATTACCACTACCTTAAATAATATATAATTAAACAAAGAGAGGGGGGGAGAGAGTAATGTTAAAAGAACAAAATACTGAATACATCGAGCATAAAGAAAAAAACTAACATTTCTCATTAGAAATACACATAGTATACTGTATCATGTATTTTTACAAGCATATAAACAATAAATCATTGAATTGATGTGCATGCCCAAACCGAAACAATTAGCTTTCTTAGGGGGGTTATTTCTTAAGCCTTTGATCTAGAGGTCTAATTCATAAAGCAGTAGAGCAACATTAGGAGAAGTGTACCCATGATAACAAGTGAACAACAATAGATTTATACTTTATTTGTTCCCTCAGAGCCTGTAATTCATGTGAATCACTGATTTGGATTTGGAATGTTTTCGAACTCGTCTAAATGAATCGTCCTTATTCATCAATCTAGTTTAAGTTTACATGGAACGATTGGTTTTTCTCGTGTCAATTTCGTAAACAACAGCCCTATCGCCAGAAGACAGAATATGAGTAAGACTTTGATGATAGTAAGTATATGCGTGTGGCCATATGAGAGGATTTATAGATGAGAGAGTGAACTTTTTCCACTCCCACTCTCGACCATACCAGGACACCTGGGTGCGTTGGATTGTTAGCCTTACTACAATCAAATATTATCTTCAGTTGATTGACGCCATACCATTTAAAGGTTCCTCTCTCCTTCCCTATTACACATACACGCAAACACATATACACACAAAACATTGCAAAAATCTACCTATCGCTTCAAGTCAACGATGTTTTCTATGATTCATAACGCTTCTCAACATCAATCAGTCAGTTCAAGACATAGATGTATCAAATCAGTAAAGTGAAATGAACATATCAAGAGAAATGCCACAGTGGCATAAGTAGTAACAGTACCATCAATAATAATAATAATAATAATAATAATAATAATAATAATAATAATAATAATAATAATAATAATAATAATAATAATAATAATACTGAGAAGGATTAAAGATAGACAATATGATTGAGGAAAGTAAAAATGAATTCTCTCAAATTCTGAAGAGTGATAAAAAGTGAAGGCATATTTGCCATTCCAATCAATTCACAGTCATATCACTCAGTCACTCAATCATTCTTCAAATAATCATTCAGACCTAGATCTCAATTTTCAATAGTCAATACACTATACACTCAAATTGGGAACTATTATTGCTTAAAAAAAGACATGTTAGCTACAAAAACGATCAACATACACTTGTTCAAATAACATGTAGATGAAAAAGTCAACTAAATAAATGCAATAGATACTAAATATGTCTATATAAAGTTAAAGTTAATCAACGACGCGTCGCAATCTAGTACTAATATAGTTTGGCAAATGTGGCTGCAATTGATACCTGACTATTAGATGAATTGGTAGGGTCAAGAGTGAGTATGGTTTGCTCTCACTTTCTCCCTCTCTCTCATTTCTTAAAATGTCCTGATATGGTTGTGTTGATAGACTCTGACAGGAAAACTCTACTCACTGCCTTCATGTAGCAGTAGTATTTTTTTACGAAAGTTAAAGGGTAAAAAGTTAACGTACATCAATTAAACTAAATTGGTGAATAAAAATGATCCGCCTATATAAAGAATGAGAAAAACACTGACTTCAAACAAATAGGGTACATGGATTTTAGGATTATAAGACATAAAACCACACCCCTCTTATTAAATTGATTGGTCACTGAGTAAGTGAAGATTTATTAGCCCCGAAACACTATGACGACGACGACGATAACAGTGATGATCTAAAATACACTGGTTCATGTCAACGGAATACAAGAATATCGTATAATATACAGAAGAAAATATCATACTGGGAAAACAAATCAAATACTACAATGAATGATCATCACATTGAATCAAAACGGAAGTCATGATGAACAAAACTCAAAATGAGTAAACCAATCGAAAATTGAGTTTTCTTTCCATTATATCAGAAGTAAGTCAACAGTAAACTATCGACAAATGCTTCGTGCAAGGTGTACAGTCATTTAAAACTAGACGATCCAGGTTTGAATCCGCGAAAGAGTATCAGCTTCTTGAACATAGCAGGTACATACATCTTGATGATAGATAACACCTAGCATGATTTGCTAAAGACTACTCTATTCTAACCTATATAAAATTATTGTTCACCATAAACTGATCACCTTACATCATGTTACACACTCCAGTAGTAGAAGATGTATCTCCTTCACCAACTGTCTACAAACTTTAACCATAAATCTCATACTTACAAAAATCACCACTAAAATATCTCTTTAAGTCTAACCGTGGTTAGTAAATACAGTAGAAAAATATCGGGGGGGAGGGCACATAAGAGGAGATGTTGAGAATACTATTCACAAAATAACCCATACTAACTAACTAACCAGTGAAAAACACTGAACCAGGATTGAAAACAGATTTACGTAGAATTGGCGAAGCTTGTGGTTGTGTATTGATTAAATGAGATTTATGATGAGAATTATAATAATAATAATTGTAGTTATGCTGTTGATCAACTTCTCGATTTGATGATTTTGTTAAAAACCAACCACTATGTAGATTGATATGATTAGATGTTAACTCTGACTGACGAGATCTGTGTAGACCTCTGCCTCCACCGTTCCCCGCACCTCCTGGTGGAGTAATTACACCTGTGTTTAATAAAAAAGATTAAGGAAAACAAGAATAGATGAATAGTCTTGACGAAAATAATGCAGTGGATACATACATTTATATTCTTCAAAACTCAATAACTTAAACATTGTATGTAAAAATATAGACAACTGAAGCTTATTTGAATATGTATTATATATATGCATAAACATATCATACATCAATAATTGCTCCACTGCCTTTTGGATCAGACCTCTAGGTCAAAGGCTTCGGACGTGGCCCCCTAAGTTAACCACCTGCTTCGACTTGGGCACCCAGGCTGTATCGCATCACACACACATCAAGTGACTTGTATGTCACATTTTTATTCGGTGCCCCTTTGTATCAATATTTAGGTGTTTAAATAATAATAATAATAATAATAATAATAATAATAATAATAATAAATACATGACTTTTCCGAAGAGTTGGCTTCATGCTTTTCATAAGAAGTGTGACAGTAAATAGCATGATCAATACGCAGAAAACTACCGATAGGAAAACTATTCGGAAATAGAAACTCAGTATCCGACATTAAATCATTTTAAAGCATCAAATCAGACGTTTAGTTTTCTTTCAAAATGCAAGCTCTTCTCTTTTACGGACTGTGAAATAAGTGCGCCTTAGATGATGAGTGGTTATGTCGTTTTTATCAATGGACAACACTACCTTTAAGATTCCGAGGAATCTTATATTTTATAAGAAACATACTCTCGTCTTTTTGTTTGAAATGTAACGACATTTTACATTTAAAAGATAGGATTTCGAATCTTTGGCCATTAAAATCGTTCTATTTCGACAGTCGGCATACATGTGTTCAAGATGTTTAGCCATCATTCATCGTTCCCAGACCACTATCTGTTCGTTCAAATTGGTAACGCTTTTAAAAAGTGCTATATCCCGACAAAAATAATGAATGGTAATTTTTGAATTCATTTGTGGACCAATACTAAACGTACAATTTTATCGTATAATTGTTAGTTAGCTAAACTATTTATATTCATGTTCCTCTTATTTTAAGCTTTATTTTGACCTACTAACCATTATTATACGATTTATCATTCTTGAATTATGCCCTACCTAATAGTCACTGTCTCCCACATTCACAGCAACATTAGGCCAAATTTTGTACAAATGTTATTCTCTATTTTATGCTACGTTGTGGTCTGTTTGATTGGTATATAAACTCAGTATGTTTGAAATATAAAGATTCATATTGCAGAGGCTGATATTGGCATTTTGGATTTAATTGGCTGGGCTAGGCGGAAAACAGAGCCAATCAGAACACTTGATCGCTCACACGTGTTTTATTTATTTATTTTAACACATAAGTATAGGTACAGGGAGGCACCAAATACATATGCGCCACACAAATCTCAATTGATTTGTGTGAGGGCTGCGATACTGCCCGGATGCCCAAACCGAAGCAGATGGTTTTCTTAGGGGGCCACACCCCGAGCCTTTGACCTGAAGATCTGATCCACAAGGCAGTGGAGCATCGTGAGGAGATGCAGTCCCATGGTAGCCGGTGACCAACGATTGGTTCATACGCCATTTGTTCCTTCAGGATACTAGAGCCAGCCCATGTGCACCATTGGTTTGAGGTCCGGTTAAAGCGCCAGACATTCGCTTTTCGTCCTCTCATTTTTGTAAACAACACCCCCGCCACGAGAAGGCAGTGAGTAGGACTTCCCTGGCAGAGGCTATATACGCATGGCCATGTGAGAGCATTTCGAGAGGGAGAGCGGACTCTCCCTATTCTCAGCCGTACCAGGGCATTTGGGGGCCGCACGTGTTTTACGCCTCCTTGATCTAATCGAAATCCACTGCCCTCTACTCGGCGGCCCTCAATATATAACAGAAAGCAAACAGTTCATCGCATAATAAATTGATTATTTGGAGGTCTAATTCATGTTGAGATATAGGTAGAATTTATGTAGTTACTATTCACAAGTTAACAGTATTAATTAGTGATCAAGTCCTTCAATCGCTCAGATATATTCAAATTAGAACCTGACATAAATACACGCATCGGTTGAAATTAACACACAACATCAGTAGTGAGATAAATCAATCAACATCAAAACCAGAGAACTATAAGCAGTAAAAGTAACAATGATTAGACAAAAGATTACCGAAAGGGTATCCAGTCAAAAGTGTGTGGTTGAAAAAACCCGCACATTAATAAATCTGTTAATTTCAATCTATGTTCAATTACGTCACTTAAACTAATGAAAAACATAATTTTGTAAACGGTTAATGAAGAGTTTACGTTTAAAAAGAATGTTTGGAGATTTATGGAATATCGTACGACAAAATGTAAGTCGTATTATTGTTATTACAAGACACCCGAGTAAAAATAACGTGCTTCAAAAAAACAGCCAATAGACTAAGAGATCAAACAGATTCGTTCATAGAAATGAAACATCATCCTGTCAATTTCGTAAATACCAACCCCGCCGCGAGAAGAATTTCACTGACACGTAGCTATGTGAGAGTATTTGTAGAAGGAGAGAGAAATTTCTCTAATTCCCACAGCAACCAATTATTTGAGGGTTCCTCCAGTTAAATTGAATTGGTATTAATAACATTAAACTTCTTATATACAAGAAGTATTTATAATAAACTATATGTACAGGTACTGTGAAGTGTGTTTAACTTATCTAACACATTTTTGTGTATCATTTTATACTACTTGCTAATATTCAGTAACCAATTTCATTTCTAATCATTTCTGAACGTATGGAGTGATATACGTTTCTTGTTATGATTTATTCTAAAATATTTACAAGAACTAATCACATTCATTGTGAATATCATCTACAGTTTTCTTGTATTAAGAATAAATAATACACTTACTTATTGTACTATGACGCATAGGTCTTTTTGAAGAGAATGATGTTATTGAATGTAATGATAATTTTGTACAATTTTGATGTGATTTTTGTTGAGATTGTTTATTATATATTTCTTGTATATATTGTATACCAATAGCGCATAATTGTGCTTCAAATTGTTTAACTAAACCACGAAATGCTTCAACAACCATACAACGTACTAATGGACAAGCATCACGTGATGAATACTTGACTAATTGACCACCAATTTCATGACTTATCTTTAAAAAAATATAATGAAGAAAAAATGAGGAATTCGATCAAGATCATTCAATACAATCTGGGAATATTAAGTAATGACAGAAAAGATTTGCAGCTTAGATGATTGTTTTTGTTCTTTCAAATAATTACGTTGTATTCAATGAGTTAGATGATTTCATTGTGTTAAGCTTTGTACTTATTGTTTGAGAGAGATGAACACAGACTGAAAGTTATATGCTACGATATGTTATGTCAAATAGGGACAATCTATCAACTTATACGACAAAGATCAAACAAATCACAAGATCAGAATCCAACTGAAAAACTGAGAAAAATAAATGAAGACAACGAAATCCATAATAATGATCGATCATAAATAAACCCAATAGAATGAACTGATACAACATTTGTTGAATAACTAAGAAGTTCACTTCTACATAAAGCAGATGATGATGTTGTGCAAAGAGACAATAAAAGCTCCTTTATTAAACGATATAATGCATAGAGAACAAATACAATAATTAGATAACATAATATTGGTCATGTAGAATCTTCAATACGAATGTTAAGACAGTTCTACTACTCAGTACATTATGTCGGTAATGGCAATGACTGACAAAGCTAGGACAGTATTCCTACAGTTGAAGAACATATAGAACTCAAAATAACTGTCAGACAACATAAATACGGACGTCAAGACGGTTCTACTGTATAAGCTGAAACTTGTGGACTACTAGAACCATCATCATAAACGCACATGTGTTTATAAATAATTGTCTATGTAAGACACTCAATGTCCGTCGACAGGATACCATCAGAAACAGACTACTGTGGGAGAGAACAAACCAGCTCCCATCTGAAAAGGAAATTAGAAAAAGATTTTGGAAGTGAATAGAGCATACATTGTAGAAATCACCAAACTGCATCATGAAGCAAGTACTAACTTGGAAACAAGTGAAAAGGATTTCCCAGGACAGAGTTGGATGGAGAATGCGGGTGGGTGGTTTATGCAACTTCAGGAGGGGTAACAGGCATAACTTAACAGAATACAAGTAAGTATTGATCAACTGTTAGAACATTTAATGGAATAAACTAAAACAAACGAAAACTAACATTAGATAGAATACTGTGATCTAGAGTGTATTGAATAGCTTCTTCATAACAGTAGCATACACATATGATCCTGTCCCTTCTAGAAACAAATCGAAATCAGACACAAGTGAGGTATCAACATTTAATAACATACAGAAATCAATAGTTAATCCCGAACAAGAAGCAATTATAACCAATCAAGACCAAAATCAACAGAACAGGTGTAGAGAAACCTAAATAGCTTCTTACTTATTAATATCTATACTGATTATGCTGTCTAAAAGGACAAGAAAAGCTTGTGTTTAAAATAAATTAAGCTAAAAGAAATAAAGTTAAACCGTAAAAAAAAATTTTTTCAATGTAGCTCACTTGATCTGCATGATTTTGTTTCGATGAATCAGTAGTTTGATTTTCAATGAGATTGCCAAGAGCATAAACTGTAGCTGCTCGAACCTGAAATGTCCACATAAACATTAAAAGAGATAGGGTTGAAGGATATGGTATTTATTATTTATTTATTTGAACACATAAATATTGGTACAAGCGGGCACCAAATATATATGCGCCACACAAAACAATGATAAGTTGAAGAGAAGAAGAAAAAAAGAAAAAAGAGAGAGAGAACAATAATGGGGAAAACGGAAAGGTACAATCAGAAGAAATTTTACAGTTAAGGAAGAAGCAACCACCTTTTATGAAGAAAGTAAAAGAAGGTTACTGCAGGATCGCCTTTGGCTTCTATTCTGAGACATATCTGATAACGTCTCTAGCCACTGCGTTACACCGTCTCTCGGACCCCAGCCAGGGAGACGTGAAGGATCAACAGAAGCTAGTCCTTTGCAGCTTTCTTTCATATCACGACACCATGTCATATACTGACCACCTCTCCGCTTTTTCCAACCAGTCCCAGAGTCGGCAAATAATGCACGACGAGGAATTCTCTGAAACGACATTCGTAAAACATGTCCAAGCCACCGAAGTCGGTGTTTCAAGATGGTGACCACCACGCTCTGCTAATCGCATTGCCCCCAAATGCCCTGGTATGGCCGAGAGTGGGGTGTATCGCCCTCCCTCTCGAAATACACACGGCCACGCGTATACACCCTCTCCCACGGAAGTCCTACTCACTGCCTTCTCACACCACGGGTGTTGTTTACGAAAATTAGAGGATGAAAAGCGAATGTCAATGCGTTAGGGGGAAAACAACATGTAAACATTTAGTCACAAATATAAATGAAATCTTATCATCGACTCATTATAATATGAATTAAAGTATTTTTGTGAAAACACATAAAAAATTATATCTAACTTAATTATGTAAATTAAATACTCCTCTATCTTGATAAAAAAAATACACAACATACTTCCGGTGAAATATCATTTAAATAAGCCAGAAGTACTTCTGGTAAATTATGTCGTATACCAAACCATCGAGCTTCATCATTTTTACACCATAACTATAAAGAAATGAAGAAAAACAAACAAACAGGAGATTAACAAAAATGTACCATATATTTTTAGGTGGGGTTGTTGACCGTATGCACAACCCTCCTTTTTTACCCGAGCTTGAGACCTGTAGTAATCAAGGAAGAGTTAGGGGAGGATTTAACACCAGTTCACACCAAGTACATATCGGTTATGTACTCAAAAACTATTATTGATTCTAAATAAGAACTTTCGTCTAAATTTGAACGAATAGTTTCACAATATTTGGGCGCTGAGTTAATGTGAGACATTGAAGAGGAAAAAAAAATGTATTTGTAAAATCTCAGCGAATGAATTTTAAGTAAATCCAACATTTCGCCTGGCAATCTGGTCCAAGATTTTTCAAGGAAAATATAATCAAACAGCAAAATTATCGAATATAAATAGGGGTACATGGTTCTCTAGTTTACTGTATACTGAATAAAATAGATCTAATCAACGTGAACCCTATTTGAAGTAAGTATTTCCATAAGTGTGTAAGAGACTTGTGTTGTGAAAAACGAAAAGTGTTAAGATAACAGATTGTGTGTCTACGTAAGTGATGTGAGAAGAAATTTCATCGGTATGTGTATATTAGGGAAACATATCATTTAATATATGATATGAATCAAAATGCCACAGCATGCATTAAATGATGATAAATAAACAAGATAAGTAAACAAGATAACAGACTGAATTCAAAGAGGGATGTATTTGTAATTGAAAGTTTGTGTTATTTTTGTGTCCCCGTCAATTGTGTAACATATTCAGATACAATAACTGATTTGAATAGTTAAATGTATTATCTATTGATTAGTTAATATGATATATATAGATGGAATGGAATAAGGAGTTCATGTTTAGTTATTAATTATTAGTTGCCATGGGACAGCTAATTGTATTCCATCTCTCTTATTAATACTGTTTCAATTATCCCGAATATGTAGGGCTTCAGTTGTTAGTCGTTCTTTGTAAGAGTTAAAACCTTTTTGAATGATTCTTGCGCCATTAAAATCAACTGTATAACCTGATTCAATCGAGTGTAATGCTATTGCTGACTTGTTCTCAAGTTTTTTTTATATCATTTGAGGATTTAGGAATGTTCTTTAAGCATAGTTTGTGTTCCTTCACCCTCACATTCAATCGCCTTGATGTTTCACCTACAAACGTTGCATTACAATCATTACATTTGATTTCATAAACACAATTCTGTTGTTCATCTTTGTGTATTGAATCTTTGATTTGTACTAGTTTGGATCTCAGAGTATTGTTTGTTCGAAAGAATACTCTTATATTTTGAAGAGTCAGAATCTTTCTGATCTCTTCTGAAATACCATTACGATAAGGGATCACCACTGTGTTAATCCATTCTTTTTGCTTAACTCCTTTCTCAATGATATCATTTTGTTCTTCATTCTTAATTATTCTTTTAATAAAACCCTTCGGATAATTATTCATCATTAGAGTGGATACAATTAAATTCATTTCCATTTTTATACCATTTGGTTCAGTGACAGGCGAAACGTTGGATTTACTTAAAATTCATTCTCTAACATCTTACAAATACATTTTTTCCTGTATTATTGATTCTCCTAAACAAACGAATAATTAAACCGATGTATGTGAACTAAAATATTCTTTCATTTATATATCTATATTACTTATGAGTAACCAGTATTTGTTGCGTAATTTCTCTCGTCCACTTCATTGTTTATTAGTGAATTCTCTTACAGTATAGTTAATATTACGGGACAAGAATAATAACAATAACAGGAAGCCAAGATGCAGAGGACAAGTGTACCAACTCAGTATGAAATTCCACAACTATGCTAATCTACGATTCTGCTACCAGGGACATTTGTTTACGTGCACAAATGCTCAACGTCTAGACCTATGGGGACAATGAAATGGTTTACATACTATGTTATTAGTTGGTACATTTCGTCACCTGTTCCACCATATCGATGTGGCCAATTGCCTTAAATGTCTGGGCTGAGTTTATCGCTGTGAATTTTTACAACCACTTATTATTTACACATAATGATGCATAAATAATTCATGAAGCAAAACCACTCCTACGACTTTGACCGAACTCGAATGTAAGCTTAAGAATTTGTGGCATCATCAGAATTGAAACCCAAGTGTCATTAAGTAAATGATTACCATTCATATCAAATATACCTCAACAGAATAATCCATTGAGAATCTTCTAACATGACGATTAAGTTATGTGTGAAATAAGATTTTGATTGAAAAATATCACAATATAATCATACAATGAAAATTTACAGTTACGATGTTTAAAGCAAAATGCATAAAACGTGTTATTAAAGTTAACAATAAACCACATACTACATACAAGTAAGCTAAAAAGAATTTAGAACTTGTGTGTATTAAATTGATGGAAACGGTGATTACCAACAGAAGCCAGTCCGGTACATAGTTGTTTTATACCATGTCACCGTGTCATAAACTGACCACTTCACCATTTCCGAGAACAGTTCAAGAGTCGGAAAATAATGCACTATTAGAAGTTTGCAGGAATGTTATTCGTAGGACATATTCAAGCAACCCGAATCAGTACTTCAAGTTGGTAAAATCAAATTATTTAATTTGTCTCTGTGTCTGAACACACGATAATGAACTTCTGCATTTTATATCAGATTAGTTAACAAGTACCAGTGATATTATTCAGATGATATTAACAAAGATGAGAAGATAATAAACAATAAATACTATAATTGTATAACCATTCTAATAAGCATAGAATAACTCAATAATTATAGAACAACTTACTTTAGCCAATGCAAGAATAAGCCATAATCTCATACGTATAAGCATTTCTTCATTTTCTGTTGGATTATTATCAAATAATTGTGTTTGTACAATGGGTAAGAAATTTTGTTTTAAATAAACATCTTGAAAAAATGGATCAGGCTATAAATGATAAGAAAAAATAAACTAAACAATTTGTGAAAACAATTTTCAATACAAATATAAACATATATTTTTGATTGAGATCATGAATTGATTGGTTTTAAGCCACCATTGAAGACCTGGACGGCTGTTTCGTCCTATTGTGAGACTCCTCAGCAGTGAGCATTCACGACCCCACTCGCGGGATTCAAACCCAGGGCATTGAAGATTGTTGAGTTTTCGTACTGAGATCATGAACCGAGCCATCCAGTGCTTACAAGTTTTCCATGATGATCTAATATTGAATGAATTCAGTTATTTTTTTTTAAATAATAGTTAAAAACTCAAGATCAAAAAATGGAAATAAGCTGAACGTATTTGAGTTGTTGAGAATAATTATGATAAATGTCAACCAATGTCTTCAACCATTGATAGCCTTTATGATTCAGATCCTAATAAAGTAGTTTGGATCTAGTTATATGGATCAGATCAACAATGAGTGATTTTATGAACTGATACTGTATCTTGGTTTGACTTTCTGTGTATATGAATTAAAATTGAAATGAAAAACGTTTTCACTTTTGAGAGTTCAATTGTCTAAGGATTGTGCACGTTGAAAGAATCAACCTAAAATATCAATATCTCATGAATTCAATGCGTCAGATATAGTCATAATAACAGATATTTGTATAAAAGCGTGTATCATCATATCCACATACTTATAAAATGTCATTATACGTATATATATTCATTTAAAGAAACCAAAATATGTTGTCCTTGTACTCACCTCTTCAGATTCATCTTTTTCTAACATTTTAGCCAATGCAAATGCTGTGATTGTTCTAGTAAGAGGCTGTGAGTTAATTAAAATAATGTGTAGAAATGAAAAATAATTTAAGATATACAGATCAATGAGAAAATAAAAACAACGCGATATTATGAATAAACCTGACGGTGTTAAAAAAGGTGAAGAATAAACAATGAAGAGATCGGACTAATCCATCACTCCTATTCTGTACTTGGATTACTCAAAGTTCACTCTTTGAGTCTTGTGAAAACTGCGGAGGGCTGTTCGATGTGCATCCTTATGTGTACGAATTGCATGGATCTCGACTTGTGTAGTTGTGTATTTAAGTATATGCAAAGGCTGTGGGCTGGGCTCGCACAAGTAACATAAGCTAAAGAAATATCTGTCGTATGTCTAGTAAAACCAAACCCCAAAACGTCAGATTGAAGTTATAATATAAAGATATGCCAGCAAATATTGGGCAGAGGTGACTACCAACCCTCCTGAGAGAAAGTTTGTGCTTATATGTATGTCATAAAGTGTATGGATTAAAGTCTTTGTACCGGTGGTATGCATGTAATGCATGAGAGAGTCAATTGCAACACATACGTTCGAAGGGAGCGGAGACCACCTACCCTACCAAGTGAGTGAATATACCTATATGTAGGCTATGGAATGTATGAGTGAAAACTAGTGTTACCGGCGTTCATGTGGCGGATGTTTGCGCACAGGGTATGTAAAACTATGTGTATCCCAATGGATGTGTGATTGAAAACATATATGTTACTGGTATGCGTGTAGACTACACTTTCCCTTGATACGATGCTCACACGCCACGACCAGGAGGTTCCGACGATTTCGCCATATAATCACATTCACGCAGTGGATTCACAAGCCTCGATAAGTGGATTCTAATCCAGATAAGCCTATATACCTGAGGCTTTATTAACTTCAAATGGTTGAAACATCGCAAGGATAAATCCTAAGAGAAACAATCAGATCAGAATTTCATTGTCAAATGAGTGACCAATCAATGAAACGAATTTTTGATAAAACTTCATTTGAAGGTGTACAGTGTGTATAGCTCTATCAAATTGAAGTAAACAACTTAGTTTTTATCTTTTTTTCTTTAAAAGAATCGATTTTGAAAGAGGACCCGATGCAATGATCATATAAATACTCAGTAAAGATTACAAATAGTAAAGTGTAGTGGCGTTCAGTTTAAGAAACAATAGGAACAGTATAGACACCTCATCTACACATTATGTACAAATATGAGATGGAACCGTGAAACATTTTGTTCAGTCGGCTACTATAATACTGTCTAACCACCGTGACAAGGAACGGATGATAGTTTCTAACCCTGGAATTATTAGTAAAAACTTCAGTGTTCAATAACGATGTTGTGAACAACACTATCGGATATTTTTCCGTTTATTTATCCAATGATTGTAGGATATTAGCAAGCAATTTTCACTGGAGATTTCATTTTTGGAACCCTATTACAACAGTTGAGATCATGAGTAAATTGAAGCTAGACCACCATGGAAAACCTGGAAGTATTGAACGGCCGTTTCGTCCTATTATAAGACTTCTCAACAGTGCGCATCCACGATCCTGACACGCGGCATTCGAACCCAGGACCTATTGGTCTCGCGAGCGGGCAGTCAGTCAGTCAGTGTGCTGTTACGGGTATGAGGGCTGATATCACTTCCCGGTTGCCGACACCGTGGAAGGGTATTTCTTGAGGAACCTGAAAAAGAAATCGGATTAGTGTTGGTCTTGGCGACCCGAGTGCGTGACCGCAGAGCCCAAGGGACAACTGCTTGAGACCGGTCGCTCACGGCTTTTTTGTGGGAGGTTTTTAATGTGTTAGCTCCGTTCTTCAAAGGGCCTTACCACCGGAGACGGAAATCCGTGAGGTAAGATGAGGTGTGACATTTTTAGAGTCAACCTTTTCTAACCCCTTCCTTGCAGATGCTGGTTGTCCGAGGGAAACACCTTACTGCTGTCACACCTCTGTACAGTCATCAGCAGTACGACTTCGCCCCCAGACCTTGAGTTGCTGCTTTCAGTCTTACCGTTCTCCAATCGACCTGCCTGGCATGGTAGAACCTGCAGGAACATATGTTCCAGCCAATATAGCTCGGTTGGGTCATCACGATAGGCAAGCCCGACCACCACGTCAAGGTAGCAGCTACGGTCGGGGAGCGAGCGGGCACTTAACCACTATACCATTGAGCCGGCACCCAACGGTGTTAAGGTCCAACTTCAGCTAATCCATGAAATTCAGCGACACATCCACGATTGTCATCAGTGAGTTACTATCTCACAACTGACCCGGCTGAACTCCACTGGTCACTGCTTCTCACTAGAATTCCAGGATATACATCTTGAAGGCTCAGTGGTCTAGTGGTTAAGCGCTCGCGAGCAAGACTGATAGGTTCTGGGTTTGAATCCTACGTGGCGAGGTAGTGGATGCCCACTGTTGACGAGTCCCACAATAAGACAAAACGGCCGTCCAGCGCTTCCAGGTTTTTCATGGTGGTCTAACTTCAATTGACTCATCATCTTAACTATTGAAATTACTACAATCTCCACAAAACTCCTTCTGGAACCCTATTCTTTCACAAGATTTGTGTTTTCCATCCAGTGTTTTTATAGTAAACAGTTTAGTACAACTCCAGATGCTTGAAATGAAATCTTAGGTGAATATACAACACTCATTTACTAAACGAACGGGAAAACAGCTTTAAGTGTTACACACACAACAATACATAGATTAACACATCTGCTTTATTCAACACAATGTATGACAAGGTGTATCATAAAAGCTTAACTGTGGAACGCGGGGATTGATTGGCACCACAGATTCTACAGCTAATAGATATAAGGGAAAGAGTGGAATGACAAATTCAACTCAATCATAATGGAATTCAACGTTATTTGATCAATGTAAAACAAATATGAACAGACGAACATGACTTACAGAAAGATTTTCAGTATCACTTAAACAAGCAATGAAATATTTATAACCGAAATCACGAACTGAATCATTTCGACCGAATTCAGTCTAGGAAAACGAAAAATTTTTAAAAGAGAAATACATTACACAAACATGGAGAGAACTCGTGAATACAAATGTAAAGTACTTACTTAGTTACGCCTGTTACCCCTTATCGAGGGGCACAGGGCGCCCACAACCATTCTCCATCCAACTCTGTCGGAGGCGATTATTTCCAGTTGCTATTCATACTTTTGATGTCTGTCTTTAATTCCCGGTGTAGTGTGTCCCATGATCTTTCTCTTTTATGTTCCCATTCAGGATTCCAAGTTAGCCCTTGCTCGTGATGCAGTTTGGTAATTTCCGCAATGTAAATTCTATCCACTTCCAGAGTCTTTTCCTAATTCCTACTTCAGACGGAAGCTGGTTTGTTCTCGCTCATAGTAGTCAGTTGCTGATGCTTTACGTTCGACTGACATTCAGTATCTTGTGTAGATAACTGTTTATAAATACATGTGCCTTTTTGCTGAGGGTTGAAGTAGTTCTCAAGTTTCAGCTCTGTACAGTAGAACCGTCATGACGTTGGTATTGAAGATTCTCACTTTGATGTTAGCTGACAGTTTTGAGTACCATGTTATTCAAATGTAGGAATACCGTCCTTGCTTTGCCAGTCGTCGCATTTACCGACTTAACGTACCGAGTCGATTGATGATAAGCTTGAGAATGTTCACTGACTGAAATGATTGGCAAGTACTACATATAACCAACCACCACATAACTCGATATGAAACACCATCTAGTGTTGGAAATGGTTAGAGGAAGGATATGGATCAATTCGTGAATCTCACATTAATCGATGAAATCAGTGTTTCTCGGTTCGAGTCCTTCTGGTAACCATAGCTTGAGGCCTACGCGATAACAGTAATCACTGCTTGGAAACTTTAAGTAGCATAGTTTGAAATCGTTCACGATGGTATGTGTGCATTTGTCCTTTATCTTCCTCTCGCTCTTGAGTTCCAGTGTTACTTCGTATTTATCTTTCTATTCGGTGTTTTCAAACCATATTCTCCATGTCCAATGTCTCTCATTATCATTCCTACTACAATTATTTCGATTATTTTGCTTGTCATTTTGTTGATTTAATCTCGTCATGTGCTAATGTAATGTGATCTATGCACAATCATACCAGGCTCTATGTTGATGATAACTAACTGACTGACTAGACAGATAAAAGGAGGCTTCTCAGTTATTGTCACATAGATCATTCATCATCCTGAGATGTTCAGATGCATAACCAGGTATAGGGATCAATGATAATGCTAATATAGCTTTTTTTATTAAATTGACCAACTAGAATGAATATACCATACTTCATTTTGCACAGACTGCCTTCCCTTCTGAAATACTAATCATATTCATGAATAATTACTAACTTTAGATAGATTATAACTCTTCCCAATATTACGTGGGGAAAAATTTCTTGATGCCCTTAATATACTACACTGATTATTAAATCTGCATTAAATTTTAGAATTAGTCAACCCACTGGATAAAACAATAATGAATTCAGTCATAAGTGAAGTACAACTTGACACAAATGTATGCTGGTCCAAGTTACAGTATAACGTTAGCACAACAAGATAAATGAATAATTAAATACAGAAATCGAAATAATGAACAGTAGAAATGATAATAACTCCCTCTGCAACTCTTCTACTGTTATTTCCGGTCCTAAGGCCATGTAAAAGTGAAGGATGTTCTATGCTCCTCCAAAGGGGGAACCACGGGTAAATAAGTAAGAAACGATCATTTAAATAATCATTTAGATTCATGTGTATCGGTTGTTTGAATCATCGCAATATTTAGGACTGCACAACAACGAGTAATGATGAATGAAATTAGCTTGAAAATACAAGGGACTATATTTGATTAGTTCAGTCATACAATATACTGCAACCATGTTTAGGTTTACCTCATACAAACAACCTACAGAGAGAGAGTTAAGCATTTGATACGTTTAACACTGTTATTTATAACCCTACGGGTACTATCATTTTTTACATTTTCAGAAGTATAGAAAAGTACTGTTCATTATGCATGGCATTTGAATTTAAAGCAAAAACGCTATAGTCAAGTTTTCGATGCTGATTGGCTAGTGTGTCTTGAGTATACTTTTTACTGATTATGTTTACCTAAACGATTAATTATCCATTGAACAAGAGACGACTACTATTCAATTTTTTGGATCGATTTTTTATTCAGGGAGAAATAAAATTCATTAATTACTGACAGTATTCAACAGTACCATTTTTGTTGTATAAATCTCATTGAATCATGAACTAGTCAGGTGATCCATTGTATTTTGAAAAAAAAATCAGAATGTTTACATGAAGCTAAAAATGCGATGTTTTGTTTCATTTACCATGCATCCATGGAAACAAGATGAAACGCATTAATACCGACATAATGTGAAATGGCAACACGATTAGTGTACACAGAAACACAGAAACATTAGTACGAAGAGACATAAATGCGCCACATAAATCATTCGATTTGTGTAAGGGCTGGAGTACTGCCCGGACGTCCAAAAGGAAGCAGATGATTTTCTCAGATGACCACTGCTCGAGACTCTGACCTAGAGGTCTAATCTATAAGGCAGTGAAACAACGTTAGGAGATGCATTCCCATAATAGCCGGTGACCAACAAAAGGTTCATACTTTATTTGTTCTCTCAGGATCCTGGAGTACATGTGTACCATCGGTTTGGTATCAGGGTTTTCAAACTCCCCTAGGTGGATCCTTACTACCAACCAACCCTGTTAGATACCGAACATTCGTTTTATCGTTCTCTCAATTTCGTAAAACACGTCCGTCGCGAGAAGACAGACAGAGTAGGACATCCCTTACAGTGGTTATATACGCGTGGCTTGAAAACGAAGATATTTTTGAAAACAGCGAACCTCTCTAATTGAATGTAACAATTTCTTAAAAACATTCATCAGGACTACACAAAATCTTTTACATCATTTTAAAACTGCCTTGATTAACTAAACAGAAAAAAACAACGCTTTACTTACTTGTGCACTGGCAATAATTTTACCCCAAATAAATACCAAATATGGTTTCACTTCTGAAACTGGTGAATGAAATAAACGAACAATATAAGGAAATATTCCAACTGTTAAACAATGCGCTACTGCCCATGGTCCTAAGTCAAGAAATTCACTGAGTAATTGCATTGCACGTATTCGATGACTTTGACTTAGTAAAATCTAAAAACAAAAGTAACAAAAATAAAAACATATTTGATGAATGAGAGAAAAACATAATCTAAGAACAACACATTGAGACTTGGACGATAGAATTTAAACAGCAACAAAACTTAGTAATTCAAACTATGTAAATATTATGATGGTTGTTTGAATGAAAGACCTAACTACAGTCACACCTCAGTACAGTCAGTAGTACAACATCACCCTATGGCGTTAAGTTGGTGCTCATAGTTATACAGTTCTCAAAATTGATGGTTGGAAGCCAAATTTACGTTAACAACAAAGAATCACGTAAAAAAACCTCTAAAATATGAATCAAGTCAGATATAAACTCTTGATCCTCCGTTTACAAATGTACACAGTAGTAAGGGTCAATAAAGCCAGAACAATCGTAGCAGAATAGACAAAAGAACTGACTGAAAAGATACAATATAATTTTTTTCATCTCTCACTAACCTGTAATAAAATTGGTAATTGCGTAGCTACAGGACGTCGTTCATCAGCCGTTTGTAACCAGATTTTGAATGCAGTCATTTGACTAGTGAAAAATGACGATGGACCACTTCCACCTATCACTGATCCAGAAAAAACTGTAGCAGTCGTTGTGGTAGTAGTAGTGGCAGCCGTAGTAGAAGCCGTCGACACCGTGGAACTGACGAATTGATTAGTTATTGACTGTTGACAATGAGACAATGCTGGTAGCGTAGATGACGATGTATTGATTCGTTGGTTAGATGATGGTGGTGGTAATAATAACGTATCGGAATAATAATTCAACTGAGATTTATTTGGATCCGGGTAATGTTCATTTTGATAATTAACATTATTTGGTAGAATAACTCTATTGTTATAATGATCATTCGCATTTGGTAATTTTGTACAAGTTTTATAGTCAAAATACTGTTTGATAGGTTTGGTCTGTGCGGATGGAACTGCAGTTGTTATCGGCCCCCCTAGTTGTTGGATTACTGTTGCTGATTTATTGCTGTAGTGGTTGTTAGTAACTCGATGCCGACAAGCTCCAGTCACTTTCTGAATATCACCACTATTCGGTAACAGGTACAACTTTTCATAACCATGTGGATACTGTGTATGCATCGTTGGTTGACGAGGTTTCATTGGAGTGGAAATACGTGAATTTCCAGGATTTTTAGAAACTTCAGTCTGAAATTTAAAAAGAAAGGCATAGGAAAGCGAAAGGATTGACAGTTTTCGTCAGAAAACACTAATCGAGACATTGCAACAAGTTAGAGAGAGATAGAGTTGGACAGACAGTGGCTTTATGACGGTGGAGACAATAAAAGGTTTAGAATTCTAAACTATCCAGCTCAGAAAGTGGGTTTGATTAATAGATCTATTTCCCGCTTTTCTTTTCAGTAATAATTAATAAAACATAAGCTGATCAGCAACTAACTTCGACATGTATTTCACAAAGCTGTAATGATAAGACATTCAGCGCAGTTCAACCACGTGGATCTGAGGCAATTACATAACAAATAACATGAAGAGATAACCACAATATTGCGAAACAACTGCAGTTACATACTTAAACTATGTGATGCTGGATAAATGGTCAGAAAGTTGAATGATTAACGCAAGACCTGAAATGTCCGGAGTCTAATTCCGAGTAGGTTAACGGACGCTTACTGTTGAACAGTCCTATAATGGGATGAAATATCTGTCCATTACTTCTTAGTCCTCAATAGCTAAAAACAATTCGTAAAATGAACTATTAAATTTAACAGTAGTAATGTCTTCATTGTACTTGACGAAGAATAAAGAATACCAATAAAACGATGGCACCGGTACAGCTGAGAGTGGGAAGCGTCCGTTGGTGGATATGGACGGTACATCTAGGGGAGTTCAGAAACATTGATTTCAAACCAGTAGTTTACATGAGTTACAGGATCCTGAGGGATTAAATAGGGTATGGACCTAATGTTTATCACTTGCTACCATGGAAATACATCTAATAACTTTGCTCCACTGCCTTGTGGATCATACCTCTAGGTAAAGGTTCGAGGAGTTGCCCCCCAAGGAAAACCAGCTACTCCGATTTCGGTACCTAGGCAGTATCCCAACCTATAAACACATTTAATGATTTATTGTGTGGCGTATACATATTTTAGTGTCTCTTTGAATCAATTTTCATGTGTTTAAATAAATACAAATCAAAACAAATTGAACTTACTTGTTTCACTGATGGTAGGTCATTGTTTAATTTACAATTTATTGCAGAAACTACTACACTATTCTCTATATCATGTTGTTTTAATTCATTATTTTGTACATGAACATGTGATTGTTTCCGTGTTTGATCATTAGTTTCACTTAGTACTATACCTTTACATGTCATATTCAATAATTTAGAAGATTCTGTTATTTTGATTAATGATTCCTTTTCAGTAGTTACGGTACTGTCATGATTATTATTTTTCAAGTTTAATAGTGTTTGTTGATGTTCTACTACTACTCCCAGTGGTAAGTGTTGACATTGATTAGTCGTATTATTCTCATCATATGTGTTCATGTTTATTTGTTCATGTGTTAATTTCGAGTGGGGTTGTTGATGTTTTTGTTGTTGTTGACGTGTAATTGGTGGTTGTGAATCATGTTGATCATTACAATTTGTATGTGTATATAATTCTGAACAGGACATACTATGAGAAAGTTGTTTATCATGCTTTTTATTCATCAATTTACTATTACTAATACCAGTACAAAGGTTAGTTCTATTGTCAACAATTCCTATGGATGGTTTATTTTCAACTTTTTTAGATTCATGACAATTTTCCGTTGAATGCAAAGATAATTGAGCAGAACAATTATCAATAGTAGTAGTAGTAGTAGTAGTAATCGTGGGACTTATTGTTGTATTCATAACTTTTGTTGTTGAACCGATGGTATTAGGAACATTTAAAGTAGTTTTATTACACTTGTATTGTTCCGCCCTATTGTCTTCTTCCTCTTCGTCATCACCACCATCACCGTCCTCCTCCTCATCATCATCATCTTCGTCAACATCAATATCATCATCATCATCGTCATCGTCTGTTTCAGAATTGTCTGTCGAATCATCGTCATCACCAACATCATCATCATCGTTATCATCACTGTTCTCATGACAGATTTTTTCTTGACTGACATTATTCAAATTAATGTTCAGTTTACTCTCTAGTTTTATTTGATTCGATTGTTTCATATGAGAAGCGGTTGACATAATTTCATTATTCTAGTTTATAGAAAGAATTAAATGATTAAATGAAGAATTCAAGCGAAAATCACTTGGATTTAAAAATCTAATGTCTGAATATGAGTGCTAAGATCCTTAAAATAAGGATTATCAGTGATACTCTGGATGGATAAGACAAGAAAGAAGTTAGAAAGAAATACACAATAGATAATCTTTGCGTTATATCGCAAATTTATCGAAGTTGACACTGTACAATCAGACAAAGATTCAGTAATCCTAATGGAGAAGCGTTTACCATGAAATCTGAAGGTTCTGAGTATGATCTGAGCTGTAATTGTGAGTGTGCACTGCTGAGTAGTTCCATACTGGTACTAAACAATTATCTACTACTCTACTGTCTTTAATGGAATCGCAAAAAAGATTAATCTGTGACAAATACATCCTATAAATTATATATGTAAAACGATTATATCCAATCAGATAAGAAGCTCTGAATGACTTCAGTTTCGTAATATCACAGTAATTTCTTCAAGAAATCGATCCTCCACCACGCAGTATTAATTTCAGAGACAGTGTAATTGTGGATTCTCATTCAATCAACTAACATAGAAAATATACATATACTGCCGAGTCACTTATACGAAATCAGTGTTGATGATTAGAAAGAATGCAATTAACACGAAAGACTATCTATATGAACAACTGTGAAACGTGGCTTAGTGGTTAAATAGTTCAACCCTAAACCACTAAGTCATAAGTAAGAGTCTCACTCGATATAATTTCGTTTGAACAGGCGAATAATATCATTAACTTATACAAGCACAGAGTATGGATCGAAGTTGAGCACAGAAATTTATACCTGATAAAAAAGACTAACAAAACCATTTTTAAAGATGGACTCATGCATTCACACACACACGTACAAATGCACAAAAAATACCTGGTTATCTTCATGTTCAAAATATTTAACCTTATTGTTCCAGCTAGATGAATCTTTTTGATGATGATCATGATGAGTATTTAATGTATTCTGGTGTTGTTGTTGAGAAGACGGATGAAAACCGCTCGGTACTGTTGTCTTTGAAATTTGGTTATCCGCTTGTTCAACTGACTTTTCTATTTCATTTGTTATGGTATGGTGAACAATTGATACAGAATCGTTATTGTTCATAGAAGTAGTAGTAGTGAGAAATTTCGATTTATTATATTTATTATTATCATCATTGGTAAACTGGGATTCGTCATTAGTATTTTGATTAGTAAACTCAACAATTTCTAAGTGATCCATCTGTTTCACTCTATGAAGAGTTGATTTTATATCAATTAAATCCTTATTACTATCATTAGTATCATTACTGATAAATTCAACAGTAGTATTAGGATGATGATTATTTTGTTCTGAATCAATCAACATGGTTGTTACCGGTTGCGATTGAAGCTTATCAGTATTATTATTATTAAATCCTGGAGGTGGGGCAACTAAATCCGAGCTCAATAGGTTGAATACCTTCGATTTTGATACTAACTCAGAAGTTCGACTAGATGTATTAAGAGTAGCAGTAGTCACAGTATTCGTAGTAATAGTAGTAACAGTAACTGGATAATGCTGAGTTTGAAGACAGTCCTACAAATAAAATATCATGCATATATTTATCAAAGAAGATGTATTCAATCGATGGGATCAAAACAAAAAAACAAATATGAAATATTTCCTTTCTATATTATACCTTATTAATATTGCATATACTTAATAATAGGAACAATAACAAAGAGGGGAGGGGCAGAGGACATTAAAATGGAACACAACCCTTGTTTATAGGTAGCACACACTAGAATACTATCTCCTAGCATTCTACAGATTAAGTAGCCTGAAAGTTAAGAGAACACTATCGAAGAATTCGACCTCACAACAAGCTGTAAGGTGAAAAATTCCAATAAATCCATGAGTACTCACTGTTTTCTCCAATAAATACGCGAACTGATATACTAAGGTTTTTGGTTGTGGATATAAATAAGTAAATAAATAACCGCACTGTACATTCAGTCACCCTGGGCAGTGAGCAGAACGAAGTAGTCGAGAAGTTCGTATATCTGGGTAGCTGCATAAGTGCTGGTGGTGGCGTGAGTGATGAGATCAATTCACGTATAATAAAAACCGAAGAGGCTTATGCCAATCTTGTCAGCCTGGCTGTAAAAGGTCAGATCTACAACGCGTCGATGACAGCACTTTTGCTCTATGATTGTGAAACCTAGCCTCTCCGACTTGAGGATGTTAGACGACTCTCTGTGTTTCATCATCGTTGTCTCCGAAGGATTGCAGACATCCAGTGGCAAAACCATGTTAATAATGCAGAGGTTCGGCATCGTGTGTTCGGGCACAGAGACGACAATCCAATTTGTGTCACCATCTTGAAACACAGACTTCGGTGGCTTGGACATGTTTTACGAATGTCATCTCAGAGAAAGCTGCAAAGGGCTGGCTTGTGTTGGTCCTTTACGACTCCCTGGCTGCGGTCCGAGAGATGTTGCAACACAGTGGCTAGAGACGTTATCAGATATGGCTCAGAATAGAAGCCAGTGGCGATCCTGCTGTAACTTTATTTTACTTGTCGCTAGAATCTCGAAATATCCCTCGTCAAAGTCTCTAGAGGCCCAGAAACGTCGGGAAATGTTTTATACAATCAGAGTTGAACAGAATCTTCAGAGAAACATTTAGAAAATTCAGAATCACGTGCTACAGCCTTGATTAGATACTTACTTATACTGCTACTATATTTGGTACAGTTCCAGAAAATTCCACAAGCCCAGGATAATGCATAACTCTAGGAATGTTCTCGTTTCTTTTGTTCTGAACATAAACAAACCTTGGAATAAAGCTTTTACTCACAATTCGTATTTTTCTCCATTGTTCCAGTTAATAAGTAGATGTAGTTGGGCTTATAGGAACCAACATTCAACGCGTGTCAGTAGCGAGACTTATCACTATTCATCAACAAATGTAACCCACTACAGATTCTGTTTTGTTCTCAAAATGTAAAACATCCTTAATACGAGGGCAGGAATAGCATAATGCAGAGATAACCAACTGCGAGACAACAAGGAGTCTGATTTTTGCAGACTTTCAGAGATATTTTGAACAATGAACAATGAAAACGGATATAGGACAACAGAGGTGGTAGTATACTTATAATGATAAAACAAACTAATGTTAGCCTAAATTATATATTTATTAGACAAATTACCGGTTCAAATTGAAATTAGCACTTTATAAAAATAATTACTTACAGGAGGCAATCCATACTGTAGTACATTGGCTGTAGAATGATTATTATTGTCACACTGAAGACAATCATGATCCAGTTGAGATTTCTTATCATGAGTATCAATCAATTGGTTGGTTGAAGGATTTCTCAGGGGATCAGCTTTATCAACTGCTCTTGATTTTGCAACAACCGTCGTTGTTGTTGTTGTAGACACGAAAGTCGACGACACAGCCACATTAGACACCGTACTTGATGTCATGGTTAACGCAAAATTACAACTCGTAATCAAGTCAGATTTAGTTGGATTCGTCAATGGTTGCTGTGAAATAGCGATATTATTGCCATCGTTATTATTATCACTATGTAACTTATTTGGTGGATATACGCAAACTGAAGGAACAGTTGATTTGACTGGTTTCAATGGTAATAACCCTGAGTGGATTCCTTGAGGAATTTCCTGTCGTTGATACTGTTGTTGTAATGGGTGAGTTTGTTGTTGTGTAGAAAAATGACGAGCACGATTTGTGCACATATCCAATGGAATATTACCAGTTGGACAAGGTGGTCCTGGTATACGATTATTATTACCATTATTATTATTATTATTATTATTATTATTATTATTATTATTATAACCATTGTTATTATTAGTAGCAGTGGTAGTAATCTTGTTTGAATTTGGATAATTATTGTTGACTGTTTTCATTAATAGTCCACTATTATTATTACTGACAATCGTATTTGAGTTGGGAATTATTATTGGCAACAATTTCTCGGCGTATAGGCTACCACCTTCAATGATTTTTAACATTTTTGGTAGATAATGTATCACACGATCTACAGTATGATCCCATGCATCCCTTTTTTATTTTGGATACAAGTAGAATAACACACAGATACATGTACAGAAAGAAAGGGGGTAATAAATACAGTACAAATCAAACATCGAGTTAACAACATATGGATACACGAAGAAAACAGAAGATTAAATAGAGTAAAAACGAAAAATTGTACCTCTCAGATTTAAACTAATGAATAAGGAAAAATACTGTAGTTTAGTCATCACTGACTAGTACTTCTTATTCAGTATAGTTTTCTCATCATAGAAGTAGTTAAGATCAAAACAGGAAATAAATAAAATAAAGCCAATCGATAAGAGGCTTTCTTTGACACAAATCTCGTCGCAATTCGTACTACTTGTTAGTAATATATATCATTCTCAAAACAATATTCAAACTTTGCATTAACAAGTATGTACTAATCCGAAATACTTAAATTATGACTATCATACGAAGACAGGATCATTATCCCCTAAGAACCAAGATGTGAATCACTGGTGAGAAAAAAAACACTAGCACGAATCTATGGACTACTAACAGCAGCCACCTTTAATCCCCTAACCATCCACATATAAAGTATCAGATTATAGAATCACTTAGGCTGACGACCGCACCGCAACTTCATAAATATAATTTTGGCTGCGTTGAATGCCAACTCGCAGGTACTACAGAATTGTATTTGCTGTTCCGCTAGAAGATCTAGGTTCCAATCCCTAGGAAGAGATCGTGAATTGAGATGTCAGGAATCTTTTCGCAAGAGATCGAAGTCACCATCATAATGTTCAGTGATGAGAATATTTTCTTCATACTAATATTGATTTGGATTTGAACGGTCCATCTTGTTTTAAACCTCAATCAATTCAAGATTATTTCACAACGATCATTTATCAGTATTGTGGAAACTGCTTAATTTAACACATTTAATACGGATGAACTTCAGTAATCACGATGTTTTACTACAACATTTTTGAATTTTCAAAGACTAGTTTGATTTTCACCAAAAGACTTGCAAATAAAAAACGATTTTAAATGGCTAAACACGTAACGAGAAATAAATCTACCTATGCCACTGACTAGTAGTATATTTTTAAAGTTTTAATAGGGGAGTGAATGAAGGTTTAGTTGCTCATTATTAATTCACTGGAAGCGGAAAATTTATACCATTCAATCACCATTAGGTGATAACTGGTTATTCAAACACCCGACAACCATCAGTATTGAGATCTTATTCAAGACAAATGGATCCATATTTATTCAACTAACAACACATTTCAATTCATAGTGTAAAATATAATGAAAGAATAGAAGATAACAACAATTAATACTAACACTATTATCAATACTTACCACATACTATGCTGATAAGTTGGTAATAACAAAGGAGCTGATACTGGATGACATCCATAATATTTCATAATACGTTCAGCCAATAAAAAATTTCTAAATAAACTAGCAATTAATAAATCTTGACGAAATAATTTTTGAAATATATCCAATGGAAAACTACACCATGCTATTGTATCAGTTACTGCAGTGAATATCCAATTAATTTCACCAAGTAATGACATACGATTTGAATGAGAACCAGGTATACGATCTAATAAGGCTTCGTCTAAATAACCTGTATACAGTTATTGGTGATAATGTGATCGAAAAGTTACGAGAGAAAAAAACATTAAGGCTAAAACAAATCTCTGATTTAAAATAATAAAATAATTTGACTAATCATAGTCATTAAGTTAGTTGACCGGAGATATAGTAGACCTTAGATTTTTTACGGATTACAGTCTCCCCCAAACACCCTGGTACCGTCGAGGGTGAGGAGATTCCGGTCTCCCTCTCGAAATACTTTTACATAACCTCGCGTATACGACCACTGTCAGGAAACCCCTACTTACTGCCTTCTCGAGGCAGAATTGTTGTTTACGAAATTGATAGGACGAAAAGCAAATATCCCATGTTTTGATAGGGTTGGTGGACACCCAAAGGAGTAGGAAAGCAATGTTTCCAAACCAATGGTACACATGGGCTCCAGGATCCTGAGGGGATAAATGGAGTATGAACCTCTTGTTGGCGTCCGGCTACCATGGGACCACATCTCTTAACGTTTCTCCATTGCCTTATGGATCACACTATTAGGTCAAAGGTTCCGAGCGTGACTCCCTAAGAAAACCACCTGCTTCAGTCTGAGCACCCGGGCAGTACCACAGGCCTCACACAAATCAGTAATAACTACTACTGAACAGATTGTTGTTGTATGGCGCACATATATTTTGTGGCCCCCTTGTACCAATGTTTATGTGTTCAAATAAATAAATAGGTAAGACCTTTAAAAAGGTACCGGAGTTATTACATTTACAACCTATTCTATGTATAGTTGTCCTCTAGGAACCGTTGTCATGTTCCTAATTTGAAATGACCACCCTTAAACTAGTATTCTTTTCAAGCATCTGAAGAAGCATTCGATCACAGTATAGACTATTGGAAAGTGACAACGTCCCTCATACCGCTAACAGCAACCAAGATCATCTCGTTTATAATTGAAGCTTCATCTTCACTATCATTGACTGATGTAGAATTTGGTAAAAAATCTATGCCATTTGTTAACTCCATAACTAACAGGACAATCGTTACATATTCTTAATCATCGTCTACTCCGATACGGTAATGTTGGTTGAAAAAAGGTTAAAGCAATTAAACCGACACATGACATAAGTTCATGAAACCACTGACTATTGGTTTGAGTTATGTTGGAAGATGCAGAACAATTGGTTGATATCAGCGATATAAATATCATATTAGTAGTTCGAGATGTTAAGTTAGATGGTTCATAATGGATCACAATAGAACAGATGCATTTAATCATTATATTACTCTAGGTCATGAGTTCCAATGTTCTTTCGTTTATTCTTTTCATCATTTTTTTCGACCTACAATATAAAATTTCAGTCTTCCCCACTACTATGGCGGCTATATCATTTCGATTTTTTTGCTATACATCTACCGAAATTTATCTCATGATAATGTACTATGGCAACTTAGTTTGATGCATATATCTACCACTCTCTAGTTTGATCATGACTGACTGAGGATGAATGCATGTACTTCTAACCAGGTTGGTTCATATACCTCAATGTGGCTCAGATCAAAAATCACAACAACTTCACCTCTTGATCTAGAACGCACAGTACCTTTTTCTTAACCGAATTTTACACTAACAGAAAACCCATATGAAATAACGTGTTCACGTTAATTCAATTTGTCTAACATTAATATCCACTTCTTAAGAGAAATTAAAAGAGAATAAGATTTACCGGGAAAATATTCTTGATGACGTAACCAGTGCCAACGAAGTGCCATACGAATTGGTGTAGTTAAACAAGCAGTAAATAAATCTGCTGGAAGATTTGGATTCTGTGGTAAATCTTCATCTTTACTACATGCAGCCAACATAAATGTATTTTCCATACTGACAACATGAACAGTGGAGGACGATGGTAATGTAGCCTAAAGATATAAATATATTAGAATGGGGGTTTGTGGAGATTGTAGTAATTTTTAATATTTTAATAGTTGAATTCATGAGTCACTTTAAGCTAGAACACCACCTTCTAAAACCTGGAAGCACTGGACGGCCGTTTCGTCCTAGTATGGAACTTCTCAGCAGTGCGCATCAAAGATCCCATGTGCGGGACTCGAAGTTCCTGGGTTGGATTCCTATATTCGGGATCTTGGATGCGCACTGCTGAGAAGTCTCATACTAGGACGAAACGGCCGTCCAGTGATTCCAGATTTTAGAAGGTGGTGATCTAGCTTAAATCGACTCATGAATTCAATATAAATATAAATTAATGAAAAGATTAGAAAAAAGAAAAAATTAACTAAGCTTACAGGGTATACACAGCATTACCTTATTATTAAGACTGGGTAAGATAATAAGGGAAATAATAAAACATGGAAAACTATTTTATAAAATAAAGGAATAGTGGCTAGTATTGTAGATCAGTAAGCATGTTTCATTTTATTTTCGGTTCATTATTTTTAAATGTACCTGAATTTCAGTCTTGATGTTCACGTTGGAACGTGAATTCAGAACCGTTCGTTAAAGAATGAAATGTGTTATCTATTGATTTAGTGCATCTAGACGGGAAATCAAAATGAATTTCGCTTTCACAGTGTGGGCACAACCACACATATACGTTTAACTGTAATCCAGTTTATCTCGTCCATGCTTAACACAAAATGGCTGATTCTGTGTATTATTACACTAACTTTTACTCATAATCATGATTAACTGAGTAGTTAGCAAACGTACAAGCATCTATAGTTGATAATAGAATTACAATAATATTTCAATTATCTAAAAATATTTATGTAGTAGGCCCCCAAATAACCTGGTACGGCAAAAAGAGGGAAGAGTACGTTCTCCCTCTTCTCTACAAATTCTCTCATATGGCCACACCTAAATACTACCAACAAACTCTTAGTAATTGTTTATCTTTTAGCGACAGGGTTGTTCTTTGTGAAACTGTCAGGACGAAAACCGAATATCCGTTGTGGACTTAAACCATATTCATGGATACAGACGATCCATTAAGGGGAATCCGAAAACATTCATTTCATATCAGTGGTCCATATGAGTTACATGGAACAAATTGAGTATGGATATATTGTTGGTCACTTGCTACTATGAGAACATTTCTCCTAACGTTGCTCCACTGACTTATGGATTAGACCTCTAGGTCAAAGACTCAAGGAATAGCCCTGTAAGAAAACCAGCTGCTTCAGTTTGAGCACCTAGCCAGCATCTAAACCTGTATACAAAAATAATGATTGTGTAGTGTATACGTATTTTAGTGGCTCTTGGTATCAATGTTTATATGTTTAGATAAACAAAATAATGTGGTACATGCTTGATAACCATCTGCTATATTGGAGATATTGAATACTGTAATCGACATTCACGTAAAAATTTTGATTCATAACTAGATAAACATCTTTGGCTACGGCACTGAATAATAGAGTGAATTTATATCACTGATGAAGCATTTAATATATTAGAAGAGGCCAAAAATAAGCCATCTATCTTGTCTAAGAATAAGCTGTTATGACTATACATTAACAGCATGACTTTCGTCTAACAATTTCAAAATATACAATGTACAGTTTACAATGTATATGTTTGTGCCTGGTTCTATGTTGTAGCTGATTGATTATTATTTTTTATTATTATTATTTAAACACATAGATATTGGTACAAGGAGGCACCAAATACATTTGCGCCACACAAATCTCATTTGGTTTGTGCGAGGGGTGTGATACTGCCCGGGTGCCCGAACCGAAGCAGGTGGTTTTCTTAGGGGGTCACACCCGGAGCCTTTGACCTAAAGGTCTGATCCACAAGGCAGTGGAGCATCGTAAGGAGATGCAGTCCCATGGTAGCGTAGCTGATTGATTGACTGACAGTTTACAAAATTTACTAGTTAATAAATAATAATAGTTAATAAATATTACTTGATTAAGAATATTTGGAAAATTTGATCCAGAATATGTTTGATGATTGCATTGTAATGTTTCTGATTGATCAGTTTTACCATCACATTCCATTTGTCTTTGTTCAACTACAGCCACCTAAAATCAAATTTGTATTTGATTCAATCAGATGCAAATCATTATTGCAAGTTGGAAAAGATAGTAAACTAATACACAATCTTACTAATCTATTTGCTATATAGAATGATAACTCTACACTTAATCTCAGCACTACTCACACGAATTACGTTATCGGTGATAATATACTTGAAATAAACTGTGCATAAGTTCTCTACCTTCAATAGTAATATCTAACAGTGAAAAACGCTTGCTAATATACTCGCACGTTGTTAAGCAAACAGACTGTATGTATGCTAAATATAGTCGATAGAGGAATTACTTACTTACTGACAGCTGCTACCCCTGGTGGGGGAGCATAAGCTGCCCACCAGCGTTCTCTATCCAACCCTGTCCTAGGCAATTCTTTTCAGTTGGTATACATACTTTTGATGTATGCCTTTGATTCCCGGCGCAGTATGTTTTTTGATCTTTCCCATTTATGTTTTCATTCGGGATTTTTAATTTCCTCTTCAGATGGAAGCTGGTTTGTTCTCTCTCACAGTGGTCTGTTGCTGATGGTTTCCGATCAACGGACATTGAGTATCTTGTGTAGAAAATTGTTTATAAATACTTGTACATTTTTGATGATGGTTGTAGCACTTCTCAAGTTTCAGTTCCGCATAGTAGTATTCACGTTCGCATTGAAGATTATGACTTTGATGTTAGCATACAGCTGTTTTGAGTTCCATATGTTCCGCAACTATAGGAATGATGTGCTAGCTTCGACAATCCTTGCCTTCACATATATATTGGATCCTCCTTGCTTATCCATTATGCTGACCAGGTACGTGAAAGTTGCCATCTCTTTCAGAGCTTCTCTCCCACCTGTGACAGGGTTGGTGTTCTTCATGTCGTATTTCAAGATCTTGCTTTTTCCCTTGTGTATCTTGAGGACTACTGATGCAGAAGCTGCTGCTACACTATCTGTCTTCACTTGCACTTGTTTGTGTGTATGGGGTGGAAGAGCTAAGTCATCTACAAAGTCTAAATCATCTAGTTGCATGCACGCTGTTTATTGCGTTCCATGGCCCCCATCAGATGTAAGGGTTTAAATAATCCGGTCAACCACCAGAAGAAATAGGAAGAGCGAGAGTAAGCAGCCTTGTCTGACACCGGTCCTCACTTCGAAGGCATCTGTTAGCTGTCCTCCATGAACAATTCTGCACTGTAGTCCGTTGTATGATGTTGACGATTTTCTCAGGTACACCATAGTCCTGTAGAAGGTTCCATAATGTTCTCCTATCTACACATTGCAAAAATGAGAGACTCAGTTTGATTGATTATAGGTTTCCGAAAAACCCGAGATATACTTGTCAACCGACTACAGCACATACAATTCAGAGTATTTGTTAATACATGGAACGTTAGATGGAATTTCTGTTTAGTGATAAACTAAATAATTCCAAAAAAATCACAAACTGTCTCAAGATGACATTGTAGATATGAAACAAAAGTATGAGAGGAATAATATGAACAAGTAGATTATTCATTTAGTCAAGATCATTAACACAAACAAATCTTTTTTTCTGGATCAGTTTAACATGACCTAATTTCTCTGATGACTGCTTATACTCTTATAACCTCTACCATTATGGGATTTGAATCGACAACTACATCTCTGTGCTAATGTGATGTGGCAACTCAAACTGATGTACGTACGTACGTACGGAGTTATACGTTGGTACTGATTGACTGACTGACTGAAATACCTTTATTATATATAACCTTTAGCATAAAGACATGCACATATTCTCACTTTACATAATTAACCATTTACAAATTGCATGATTCTAATTGATTCGCAATCAGATCATCAGAACACAGTATACAATATATATATATATATATATATATATATATATATATATATATTACGTTTAATGAATTGTTTCTATTAAGAATTAGTCAACAACAATGAACTTAAATAATGTGAAATGATCAATCATATGATTAAAGGTCAATCTAACAACAGTATTAACAATCAATCCAATATAATGTGATTTGATATGAGTGAAATAATTCTGTAAACACCATTTCGATCTGATGAAACTATTATTTAGTAGTGATAATGAAAGATTCAATATAATTTATTTGGATTAAAGTCAATCAGTTACAGATAATATGAATCTGATACATAGATGTATCAGTTTACGTTATCCTACTATGATGTGTGCTACTGATGCCGACAGATATAAGCAGTATATATCATCAATCGGAAGTGAAATGTCTGAAGGCAGAAGGTTAAGAAGATCAAAGAAAATAGAATGACAACACAGAATGATTGGTGTGAGAACGAAGGAACAATCAAAGTTTAAGACAATTGATTGACATTTTGGAAATCAACTAATTATTGTATAGTTCTCAGATTTTGTATTCAAATACATTCGATTGCCCTCATGAGTGTTCACGTTCACTACATTACCACATCAGCACAGCTAAAATAGTGAAAGAAATAACAGCATCATTGGTAGTATGGTGTGAGCTACTTATGTGGACAGATATAAGTAGTATATGTAGTAAGAACTAAAATGTTTATAAGTGGAAGATTGAAATAAAAAAGAGCAAGGAGAACAAAGAGAGAATTGAAATGCTGAAGAAGATTTGTAGGTCAAGCGGAAAAGGTGGAGCATATAAACTAACAAAATCACTTCAATCAATCTTATGCAAATCAAAAAAAACGAAATGATAAAAGAAGAAAAACCGAACACCATCTACAAAATAAATTGTTCCAACTGCGAAAAACAATACATCGGAGAAAGTGGACGCCCACTTTACCTTTAACTGCACGAACATCAATTAGCAGTCAAACTCCATGACGTAACCTCGCTTATATCAATGCATTTGAGCAACTGTGGACACATATTCGACTGAAGAAATGTTGAGATCTTGAATAAAGGGAATCCTAAAAACACTAAAGAATTTTTTAGAAGCTTGGCACCCAGGTCAAACAGCAATCAATAAACATATTGAAATAAATCCAATCTACCAACCAATCAGACTCATGAATCTAACTACTAAAATTACTACAATCTCCACAAACCCCTATTCTGATAAAAACAAAGGACCAGGAATTAAATCAATGGGGGATATAGTCAAAAAAAGTAAATAATAGCCAGTCAAGATCGAGGTCTACAGGACAAGCTATGAGTCATACATGAAGAAATTCGAACACTTCATTTCTGCCTGAAGTTTTTGATGATGATATTGTTCAGAAGAACGATGAAATTCCACGACCAAACCATTCAGTTCCAAGAACAAAACTGCACCAAGATGATTGAAAGTGATGAAGTGTGCAAGTGATTAGGCACTGATAGCATGATTTAAGAAAAAATGAACCCACAAAAGGAACTGTCTAATTTTAAAATAAATTTTCAAACTTGAGATTCAAGGAAAGACAAAGATTGAACCCATCTGGGCTACTGTGATTGATTCTGAGGCATATAAAATAATTCCTACAATCACCGGTCGTGGTTATCGCGTGAACTCTTACAAGGCAGTCTATCCCCAGCAGCACAGTCCAGTTCAATAGTTAATGCCCTCATACATTGTTGCCGAGTTTTGATTTGGTCAACCCATAACTTTCTCCCAACCTACACCTAAACCGTCAAACAGGGCATGTCAAAATAGGCGGTTAATGGGCATAAGTAATGCATATCCCAACTACTTCTAGACTAAATTATGTAACATCGAATGAAGTTACGAGAATGACGAATTTTTTAAAAATCTACATTGAGATCAATAAAATAGTAGCTTCAATAGTCGACAGCACAGAAAGTGATTCAATTTACCAGAGACTAGTGATTCAAATGTTTCAACAGCCAAGAAATTGTCATCGTTTAAATTTGAACCTTAACGTCATCTGCATGAATTTCAGTAGTATAATTTCGCCTTAAAAATCCATTGAAATTATAACTTCATTACACCAGTATGAAATATGCTAATGGGTTTATAATCATAAAACAACTCATTAATGTAGGTCAATTTTATGAACTACGCTTCAAGAGTGAATTTAGCAGTAGTTATTTACATAGTATTGTTACTTTGTAAAACTAATCAGTAGTCAGTCATAAATGAATGAAAATCAATACAACTATCCTATAAAAATTACAGTACACAGAGCAAGAGTGTAATAGATATAGATGTTTTGCACTATAACATAACATATTAGATAATATTTAATTCCATGACCTTGTATTACCGCAATTAAAGAAACATACCTAAGTGAGATTTAAGTGTAATTCAGAAGCTAAGTGTAGATTTATGCTTTATAATTTATGTGAGGGATAACATAAAACTCGAAAGCCGAAAACCAAACGGATGTTTTTCTTAGACGATCCTCATAAGCACAAGCTCTGAACGTAAGGTCAAATGGAAAGCTAGTTTTCGTGGTATAGTACACCCTGAGCCGGATAATTAAAAAATGCATAGCTAAAAAACTGAATATGAATAGACCTATATTATAAGGAAATTATCTAGAAACATGTTATGTTCTGATAAGAATAATGAATGGTAACTTATGGGATCCATTTACGGAACAATACTATGCATATAGTTAAATAACGAGACTATTCATATTCATGTCCCTCTCAATATGAGCTTTATTTTGACCTAGAAACTATTACTATACGATTTATCATTCTTGAATTATGCCCTGTCTATTAGTCACTGCCTCCCATATTCATAGCCACATTTGGCCAAATATTATACAAATGTTATTTTCTATTTTATAGTACGATGTGGTCTGTCTGATTGGTATATAAACCCCATGTGTTTGAAATAAATGATTCATATCGCAGAGGTTGAGATTAATGTTCTAGACTTAACTGGATGGGCTAGGCAGGAATCAGGACAAATAAGGACCCTTGACTGCTCGTACGGGTTTACGTGTCATTGGTACGATCGATAATTCACTGCTCTCTAATTGGCAGTATCGTTACGTTATACATTAACAGGGCAAACAGGCTATAACAAGTCAATAACAAAACATTTGTTTATTTGTCTTTCTTCTCAATAAATTACTCACTTCAGCTTTTCGACGTTCACAGAAAACTTCATACATATGTATTATTCTTCCAGCATTTTGACAATCTAATACATAAACAGTTGGAGCACCTAACCATCTTTGTAGATCATATAATGATAATGGTATATATTTAGTAAATTTCTACAAAATAAAAACAATGTTGAACAATGATAATCAAATTTAATTCATAATAAGCATATATCAAAATTTTATTTATTTATTTATTTATTTATTTATTTATTTATTTATGGCTTTATTCAATATTATATTTTGGTACAACATAGAATTCTCAGCACAAAAATATTTCAACAAGTTTCTTTTACAGAACAAAAGAAAAAAAAAACCGTTTAAAAAAAAAAAAAAAATCTGAAAAAAAACTGTACAACTTTTCAATTAGAGTCATGTTAAGAATGCAGATTATTGACTAGGTTAACTTTAACAACCTGTTCGTCACAGAGTACATTTGCTAGGTAAGGTACTATAGAACGTTTATACTTTTGCTTGCGTGCTTGGATTTTAATGTAATTTCGTCTCGTTCTACTGAATATTATCAGAAAGATTAAATCTATTATTTGAGGCAAATTATTTATTTATTCATTACTCATTGTAATTTATTCAGCTTAAAACTAAATTTTGCTATTCATAGATAAATGATACTTTATTCAACTTACTAACCTAAAATGAAAGAAATCAACATTCGAATTGAAAACTTATTTGTTTAGAATTTGAATAATTTCATTATTAACTCAATAGTTTTTAAGAATCAAAAGAGATTGTGTTATGGGATATACATACCTGAGATGAAGTTGATTATATGAAAAACTGTTTTGTAATTATGTGAAATGATTCCCCGTATAATAATGGTAAGAATAAGAATAATAATAAATGCAATTAAATAATCTTGGACACAAAATACAACCTATAACCATGGGAAACAAATATATCTAAACTGTTACTAAAAACGTGAATACTAGATGCTTATTATTATTATTATTTAACTTGCAGATAAAAGATGATAGACAAGAACAAGAGCATCAGTCAGCCATAACCAATGTAGAGATTGGTATACGTGTGAATTAATCTAAGTTCCTATAAGCACATTAGCACGATGAGATGAAATTAACAGGATTAATAACAAGCAAGACAAAATAATGGAATGTAAAAGTTTGTATGAAGGAATACTGGAACTCAAGATCTAGAACACAGAGAGTGAATCTATTTGCGAGGTAGTGGTCGACAAAGCTAAGTAGCCAGTTTTGAGGTTGAGATAGTACTTTCGACTATATGCATTGCGACGCCAATAAAATGCTTCCTTCAGACAACCAGCACCTGAAGTGATACTGCCTTCTCTCAATAAAAGCAATGGGTTAGAAAAGGTCAGACCTACAAAACTCACACCTGACTAACCGAGGTATCAAAGCCTTAAAATTACGGAGTGTACACACTTAAAGCCAGTCAGTCAGTCAGCTGCAACGTAGGACCAGGCACGTATATGCATCGGTCCAATTTGCCATACCACATCAGCACAACAAGAAAGAAAGAATTAGTTCCTAGAAAGAAAGATTTGAAGTGATTTTAATCTCTTGGTTTAAAGGAAGACAGAGAGTGTATACACCGACGCCATTGTGATCGATTCTGAGCCATGTCACAAAGAGTCTTCAACCGTTGGTTACGATAGTCACGCGAACCCCAACCAGGCAGTCTGCATCTACCAACATGGCTCAGACCAGAAGTTAGTGACTTCAAGCACTGATGCCACGTTTTGGTTTGGCCGCCCCTAACTTTCTTCCAATTATCCCCTGCACTAGTCAGCATTGCGCGTCGTGGTAATCGGTGTTCAGGCATACGCAGCACGTGGCCCAACCATCTCAGTCGATGAAGGTTCATAACCTCATCAACTGATTTACCATCATTCCCTAATACCCTGCGTCTAACCTCACTATTACTTACCAGATGATCCCAGCAGATACCCGCAATATTTCTAAGGCACCTGTGGTCAAATACTAGTAACTTACGAGTATCTTCTACTCTTAATGGCCATGTTTCGCAGCCGTATAGTAGAACGGAACGAACTGCCGCGCAGTATACTCGTTCCTTAATTGATAGACCGATATCTCGCCTTCGCCATAGATGACGTACGTTGGCAAAGGCCAAACGAGCTTTTCGAATCCGTGCTGAGATTTTCTCAGACACCAACCCATTAGGGCTGATCAGACTTCCAAGATAAGTGAAGTTTTCAACGCGTTCGACTACTTCACCCCCTATCCTTAGTTCAGGTGTTGACGCAGACCAGTCCTGAAGCAACAACTTGCATTTGGAAGGAGAGAAGTGCATCCCAAACATTCTGGCATGCGCTTCTCTCCCTCCACTTATAACTACTCACAAAGTCAAGAAATATTAGTAGCCCAGGACCACCAGACATATGGCTTAAGTTTGAATAAATAAACATGTAATAAGTTATTATATTATATTGAAAAATGCCAATCCTGGACGACTAACATAAAGATAGTAGAGTTTAAGATTAAACTTACAAAGCAATCCATAACAATAGTCTAAAGTACGACACAAAATATAAAAATGTCCAAGGACTAAATTTAAAGATCAGTTTATACTTACCGTGTTAAAAACCCATATTTCTCCATTCTCAGTGGGTCTAGGGACACCATGTCCATTATAATGAAATAAAATTCTATCATCTTTAGCGTTACGTCTTAAACTAAGACACAATTTTTTCACATCATCTAAAGTTGGATCAAGACACTGTTTATATCTGGCACGAGGTTGCCATCGTTCGTATTGGGCCTGAGAAATTAAAGTAGAGAACAGTGAACCAACTCGAGAGATGGTAAGAACCACTACTAAAACTAATAAAACAGGAAGGCTAACAATGACTTGAACTAAATTAAAAATAATACTTAATCAAAGATAATGATTTCTGCAATGTTTCTACGTGAATTTTTATCCCATGGACAATGACGTTCTTTAATTCTATTGACATCACAACTAAGGTGGATAAAAATTACACGAGCGCAATATGAGGACTACAACAAAACCGTCGGTAATAATAACTAGAAAAAGGCCGTTGGGTACCTTCATGATTACGATCATTCTAACCAGATATCTGCACGCTGCTAATGAGTTCTTTGACAAAGGAGTACAAATATGCTTGATATCCAGGTAACTTTGACCTAGATGGTAAAACCTCTTTGTTAGTGTGAAATATATCTGAATACGAGATTACGGAGAGTAAATGAACAAAAATAGAAAAGCCAGTAGGATGGTGTTCCATTTTGAAGTGCAACATTTTTGATAGCAGAAGAGATGGCGAGACTAAAACAATGAATGCAATTAAACTATCATGGTGGGTTTGATGTACTGACATATAGGGAATATAGTCATTAATCTGTAAAATCCCAAAGATCACAACAATCAAATCTAATGCTATTTTAAAAAGTTTAGATTATTAGGAAAGATCAAAATCTGATATGATTAAATGTATCGCGACCAAGTGAAAAAAGTGATAAAACGAAAAACAGACATGATATTACTTAATTGTTTGAACATAAATATTGGTACAAAGTGGCACCAAATAGATATGCGCCAAACAAGTCACTTGATTTGTGTGTGGGCTGAGATATTGCCCGGATGCCCAGACAAAAGTAGGTGGTTTCTTAGGAGGCCATGCCCGGAGTCTTTGACCTAAATGTTTGATCCACAAGACAATGAAGCAACGTCAGGAGATACAGTCCCATACTCACAGGCAAAAGATGAGTTAAGATAAAAACATATGACCAAATAACTGAAAATCAGACACACTAGCTACTAGTCAACAACTCATTTTAGTGAGCTAGAAAAAGTGATTAAAGATAATCTGGACTAAATAAGGAGGAACCAAATACATATGCGCCACACATATCTCATTTGATATGTGTGAGGGCTGTGATAATGCCCGGGTGCCCAAACCGAAGCAGGTAATCTGAACCAAACGAAGTGTTCTGCTTGTGAATTATCCACGTAAACTTTTTGAGTCAAATGACTCGTTAGTGAAGGATTATTTACTGCTTTCTAAGCGATCGATCGAATAAAAATCCAATGAATTTTTAGAAAACATGTCAACTCAAACGCTTGTAAATAAAAACATTCTACGATGCGAAAGCAACCAAAAAAATGAAAGTATCACCACGAGTCAGAAAGTCTACAAAATATCAATCACAATAAATAATATTAAAGCAGGACATTCGCAACTTATTGATAAAATGAGAAAACACAGTTACCTGAAGATTTTTTCCGATATTGCCTAAAGCGTGTAAACTGTTAGCATCGGTTGGGTCGACCCATGCTTCCACTCTTGAGAAAGGTGGAATTTTCTGTACATCCGGAGGATCAATATCAATATTTAGGCAAATAACCAGGGCAACTGTTAAAGTTTTAATCTATTGAATGCGAAAATTTGTAGAAAGACTACCTTTTCCTTGTGATATTTTTCCTGGTACAATACTTGCCCCTCAATTGCTTCTGTCAAATGTCGTGAAGTGAAGGCAACAACTGTGTCTTGCATAAGATCATTTTCTGTATCCGAGTCAAGAAACATCTCAGGGTTTAACATTCTTCACACTAAGTCTATGTGACGCGACGGTTTATAAGTCCTGTGAAACTTCCTATTTATATCCTTGATGTAGCTAAAAAGTTTTAGATGTTTCTTTTGACTATTTTCCGAGTAACTGACTACGCGCGGCGAACCCGTTGATAACCACTATAGTTCATGGCGACCTTGAAACCGCAAATATTTGACTACGAGCCTGTAAAGGCTGTACTTTGTACAATTTATTATCCGATCTACACAAGTTTCGGAAGGGAAGGGACGATCCCTATTGTCATATCAGATTTCAAGTCTGCCAATTACTGCACAATTTAGTGGATGATTGAAGTTGAACCAGTACGCCATTATATTTCGTCTCAGTAGTACGAAGATTAAGGGTTCGAGTTCGAGGCTGAAGGACTTAGATTTGATTCCAAGATTCAAGGTTTTGAATGCGCTTAGCCAATGAGCTACAGACTGCTACGGGACAGCTGTCTAGTGCTTCGAAATTTCCACTGATTGTTCAACTTTGACTGATTCGTGATATAAAAGAAATTTAACAATCTCCACATCCCTATATTGAAATGGGAAGTAATTAGCCAGTATGAAATTTGTAAACTTTCGTGTAGATATTATTAATCACAACAATATGTCATCAAAAACTCATTTTTATCGTCATAGTAGTTCTAAGCTACTAGCAACTGCAACACTCCAGATTTCTACATCGTTACTTATGTGCTTTTCTGTATATGACTGTTTACTAGTTCGTGTCCTATTCATTGTCTTCCTCATCTAGAAGTTGATTGACTGAACGACCTGATACAAAAATCATTATTTGGATTCATAACTGTCTTGCTGCAATGATTGTTTTATCAAGACACTATCATTTTCTTCTTTAGTGCCACCATTGTAAGAGCATTCAATACAGATACATTTCATCGCATATTGCGGTAGTTGTACCTATGAAAAGATTTAATAATGGGCCTTTCTAAAGTAACCTAAGTTTAAAAATCGGTCTTATTAAGCTCACGAAAGTGTTACATTTTACCTCGAAATGAATTCAGTCTCCCCACAATAGCAGGAGTAGTTGATGGAAAATATTTATCAGCTAAACATTAGTTTCCCGAGGTTAATAGTTCGAGCTGAGATACAGTAGTATTATTGGGTTTTTGCTTGATTCTTCACAAGAAGTGTGGGAGCCAACACATAAACATCTGTATTGTTGTACATTCATACCGTGTGATGAAAAGTCTAATAATTGTACCACGAATCTTCATTACCTTTTCTGATAACAAAGGATTGCGGTGTCGGTTCCCAAACACAGTCAACGAATTCGTTGCTTCGGTCGAATGCTGTTTGTTTATAAATACTGTAGTTGAATCTCTTAGCTTATTCCGATCGGTTGGTTTGTTTTATCTTGGGTTTCATTCCCTGAAGCGTTCCGTAATAGTAAAAGATAGCTATTCACTGCTTCCCAGTTTTCAATGATGACATACCTAAAATCGGTTGGTGATACGAAAAAATAAATAACACTGTTATGTCTTAATCTTCTGCATGCCACGTTTGCTGATAGATATATGCATTATGTAGCATGAATCAAAAATGGAATGCCTAGAAGCAGAAGCCTGAATCAAACAATACAGTTTAGAGGCCCTCCATCTGACTCAAGTCAGATCATATGATGATTGCTACAGAAATATACATACCGCTTACCCTTCTATATGATTAACTAGTCAAATCACGTTAGTAAATAGCCGAATTAAATATGTCAAATGCAAGAGTGAATTTCGATTTTGTATATTTCATATAATCGTTAATCTGGATAAACAATCAAGGAAATGAAGCAAGATGTAGCTAGATATTTGCAGTCAGATAAAAATACGTTACAGACACATGTGAAAATTATTGGCACATATACATGAGCTAGAATAACTTATGTGGGCTTGGCATAGTGCCAGTAGCTACAATAGGAAATATTCAGAGAGCAATCACATAACAACAGAACTAGAAGAATGATGATAACGCAAAAACGAATCGTAAATGATGCATTTAGTGTGTGCTTTTCGTATTTCTCTGGGCCACTGCGTAATTTGTCATTAAACAATAAAATCGTCCTCCCCACTAAAATTCTCATTCACTACATAGTCACTAAAAATCTTAGAGGCTATCACCTAAGAGTAGAACACAGTATGACACGGAAAAATTGATGCAACGTTTCATGACTAATTTATAAATTGTAGAAACAACATTAATTCATGTCCCCTTCTATCAGTTAGTTTGAACGGGGCTTGAGAATCGTATCACCTATTATGAGTAGGTGCTCTTTAATATTATTACGGCTTTATTCCTAATTTTTCTCGTCGCGCCAATTGTTCATTTCAAATCTGGACATCCAATGCACCAAAGAAGTGTCAAACAAATTCAACATCAAAAAACAAACCTGTCGAAACTGCAGATTGTATACTAGTACAACCTCCACCAGTGAATTGTCTAGAACTCTATAGAACAATGTGCTGGTGCTTCAAAATTATCGTGGAAACTCTCTCTCACTAGTCACGCGAATTGTCGTGAGGTATGTTAGAAAACTTGTAGTGCGAATTCTATAAACCAACTTTTTAACTACACACAACCAACATGTTGAAAAAATACAATTCCAGGAACCGGTAAAGCCGTTCCAACTTCCGCTTTTAATTGTAATACTATGGAGTTCATTCTGGATTATAAAGAATCTATGATCAATACACGGTTAGAAATACATGATGAACTTAAGGAACTAAAGAACTGGTCCACTTGGAAAGAATTCTAACAGGCGACATTTAATGCATGTGCACAACTGAACGTCTCATACTAAGAGTTCGTGATAAGAGGGCGATCAAGAACAAAAACTACCAACTTGTACAAATGCCAAAACTGATACAGCTTCTAGAGGAATTTACATTCCCGTAGTTTGTTGCACATCTCTATAGCCCAATATTATGTATGTCCGGCTGTGAATTGGGCATAGACTCTTCACGATCTAGAGTGTACTCATTAGTGTTTGAATCAACATCAGAAATTGAAAATGATTCACTTTGGTCCTTGTAATGTATGGGTTATTGTGACTAACTTGCACATGAATCAAAGACTCATCAACCATTTTTATTGGGCTTTTCGTAGGTTGTGGGTAAACAGTTTCTCTACAATGTGTAACATTAACAGACTGCAAACGCTCGTTGCTTGAGGAAATTTTGTTCAAAAAATTTCATGATTGTTTCTTTTGCGTACAGTTTGGTAATTCTGCACTGAAAATCTTTATCGATTCTTCCCTTCAGGTTTTTGAGTTGAGCAGCGGTAGGAGAATTTACGTTTGTTTTGAAGGTCTTCAGATTTCGTGCACGTGAATCAGAATCAGTGAACTTTGCAGTCGTGCGCAATTTTTCGCACTTCATTTCCACAGTTAATAAATTATCAGTCAGTCTACTCAGAATCATTACTCGTCAGAAGAGTGAAGAGTGTGACAAAGAAACTGGCATTGCGTATAATAATAAATGTACACACATAAAAGTAAGCATAAGACGTTTAGACGTAAATTTGCAAGGACATGAATACAAAACATTTATATGCTTAAAATCACAATTTCCTATGAAAAGAATTGTCACTGGTAAGGTATAAATGACTCAGTAATCACAAAGCATCTGATTTAGTGGAGTCTGTTTAAAAGCTAGGATGAAATCTATAAGTATATAACAGTATGTATATACAGTTATCTAAGACATCAAATGAATAAAAATTAATTTTTAGGATTTTTGGTTCCACAAGTTTAGTACTTGGGATTACATTTGATCACTATCCCTTAGTAAGTACCATCGCTGCACAAATAATTTTATATTCTCAGTAGCTACACGTTGGCCATACTTTTGAGTAAATACTAGTAGATGTGTCGAGTATGCCCGATTTATTCTATTTGGGACTTTTGTAATGGATATCCTAATTTTTTGTAATGTCAGTTATATTGTTAAAGCCCATATAACTTATTCTAGCATCAAAACAGGCCAGTTTACTCATTCTTCTTAAGTCATATTTTGATCTTGTTAATTGTTCACTTATCAGCTTTGACTGTTTTTATATGAGTGAATGTATGTGTGCACTTCTTATATTACTCATTACATGTCTTCAACTTCCTGTTGTGTGACTATAAATGTTTATTAACGCTTGATTAAAGGGAGTTGGTTCATACCCCCTCTCCACTGTGCGTCATTTCGCTCTCTTTTCTCCCCTTCGTCTCTCTGAATGTCTATCCAAATCAACATGTATACACAATGTACTTATTGAAATATCCATTCTCGTATTTGACTTATTTAATTCCGTTATTCACTAACGAGGATTGACGACATACATATTTTAATAACAATGATTCATACGGTCCAATTAGAGTCAGATACCGAGCTACTAAAAGAGGTGAATCCATTGATAACATCGTCAGATATAATTAACGTAAAAATATTTAGTTGACGAGTTTAGTTTACGAGTTTCAAACAAGATGAAAAATGGGTGCTGAAGCCCATCTTCTACTAGTTGAAAGTTTACTGATTGAATATTATCAAATGAACTGTTACTGTATGCATCAGCTGCTTGAATATTTCTCTTAGAATTTGGAGCTGTAACTGATCAGATTCTTTTAAGTATATTTGGATACCATACCGACTGCTGACTATTGCTGCTAGGTCGCAAGCGTTATAAGAAGATATAAATGGCGGCTAGCATAGAAAGCCTGACGTTCATATCGTTCTATTTGGAAATCCTCGGCTATATGTGCTTGCATCACAAGACTTGCATCGCGGACTCGAACTCAGTAACACTTACTCACATTTTTATCCCGTTACCCACCTAGCTAATAAGTTCATACTTTGCTTAAGTTACAGCGTATTGTTCAAGCAAATGGCTATTTGAAATTAGAAGCTAAATGAATAACGCGATAATGATTGACGTGAGTACTATTAAGTAGCAGTAAACATCAACGTCGGGATGCAGGTACATCCAGCTGACAA